AATTATATTTTTAAATTAAAAAAATATAATAATTTTTATTTAATATTTAATATATAATTTTTATAAAATTAATAATTAATTAAATATAATAAATATATATATAAAATAATAAAAAAAAATATTATTTATAAAATAATTAATTATATAATATAAAATATTATTAATTTATAATAATTTTAATAATAATAAATTAATAAAAAATTAAATATATATATAATGGAATATTATTACGTAAAGATAATCACGTAATAACACGTAATTATTTTTTACATAAAAGGTAATTTTTTTTAAATAACACTTATATATATAATTTATAATTAATATAATATTAATTAATTAATATAATAACAGTTATTATAATAACTTTATTTTATATTATTTCTTTTTTTTTTTTTTTTTATCGTTACATTATTCCTTTTTATTATTTAATCCGTATAAATATTTTATTTTATTTATATTAATCAATAGTTAATTAAAAAATAAAACCATAAATTAACAAAATTAAAAAAAAACGTAAAACGTTTTTTTTAACAAAAAAAATAATGGCTTAACCATTATATTACTTTAAAATTTTAAGACTTTTAAATAAATCAAAAAATTTACGTTTTATCACGTAAATTTTATAACACTTTTGTTATATTTACAACCATTTAACATAACTTTAATATAAAATAAATATATTAACAATAATATTTTAAACATTAATTTAACCATTAACTTTAATAATTTTAAATTAAATAAAATAACAACGGAAAAAATTAACACGTATTATACGGAAAACTTTACATATTATTTCAAATACCATAACGACAAATGTAATAAAAATATATAAAATAATTTTAAAAACTTTTTTACAAAATAACAAATAAAACACTTTTAAAAAACACACCTTTCGTTTTAAAAATTAATAACAAATTATTTTTTATATTATAAAATATATTTTAATAAAAAAAAAACCACTTTTAAAAAATTAAAAATAATAATTAACGTTAAAAAATTTACGAAATTTTTATTTAATAAAAATACATATTTATTAAAACGTTATTCCAATAACTTTATTTTAATAATTAATTTATATTACGTTAATAAATTTAATAAAAATATTAAAGTAACAATATAATTTAAACTGTAAAAAACATATACCCGTATAAAAACAACATTTAAACCACTTTAAATACAAACGGTACAATTAAATAAAATAAATATAAAACAATTAATAATACCGAAGTTAATTTTATAAACATAATTAATTTTATAATCGATAATACCGGAATTAATACCATAAACAACTTTAAAATCGACTTTATAAAAAATACAATTAATTTTAATAATATTAAAACTAATCTTATAAATAATTCCGTTAAAATTTAATAAATTTATTACGTATACATAATTAATAAAATTATTATAAAACATTATTAATTATATTAAAATATATAATAATAATAAATATAAATATAAAAATAAAAAATATAACTTAATAAATAACATACCGGATAAAAAAATTAAAATCGTCGAAAATTTTTATTATAAAATTAAAATCGGTTAATTATATTAAATCCATTATAATACACAATTATTTTTAATTAACCCCAATTAATAATCCTTACGATTTAACAAAATAACCTCGTTTTTAACCAAACAATTTAACCGAAAATAACCTCGTTTTTAACCAAACAATCCGACCGAAAATAACCTTATTTTTAATTAAATAACCTTTACTTTAACCGCTTTAACCAACCAGCTTTAACCAACTTTAATTAACATAATAAAATTTTACCATAAAAAACTATATTAAAAAAAAAGATTTAACAAAATTTAATTAAATAAAAAGTTTAAATATAAAATTAAATTAAATAAAAAAATTTAATAAAATTTAATTAAATAAAAAATTTAATTATATATTTAACCGTTTTAATTTAATTTAATTTATTTAAATTTATTATTATTACAATAAATTAAAATTTATTAATAATTACGTTATAATATAAAAAAAACGGATTAAAGGTAAAAAAAAAGAAAAAATTATTAATATTAAATTAATTAAATTATATGTAATTACGTTATATAAAAAAAAAAAAAAAAAAAGAAAAGTTACCAATAATAAAATATCATTACGTAAAAATAGTCACGTAATAACACGTGACTATTCCCCACACAAAAAGCAATTTTTTTTAAGTAACATTTATACATATAATTCGTAACTAATATAACATTAATTAATTAATATAACAACAATTATCGTAATAACTTTATTTCGTATTATTTCCTTTTTTTTCTTTTTTTATCGTTACGTTATTTTTTTTTATTACTTAATCCATACAAATACCTTGTTTTACTTATAATATATATTTATAAAAAAAAAATTTAATTAAAACGTATACGTTTAAAAATTAAATATTATAAATAAAATAATAAATTATTAAATATAAATTTTATTATAATAATTTTTAAACTATTAAAAGTTATTATATTAATAATATATATTAAATTTAAAATTTTAATAATATATTATTATAAAATAAATATAATAATATTAATTTATTTTTAATTTACGTTTAAAATAAATATTTAATTTATAATATATAATATATTAATAAAAAATTATTAAATTAAAATAAATAACGTTTATAAAAATAATTAAATTAAAATATATTAAAAAAAATATTATAATAATTAAAAATAATTATATAAAAAAAAATAATGTAAATTTATTATTATATATAAATTAATTATTAATAAAACATTACCGTTTATAAAATAACTTTAATTATATATATAATTATTTTCGTAATTTTTATATAAATTTAATAATTAATAATATTACATAACTTACTTAAATATTATTATTAAATATAATATTACATCTTAAATCCTTGTATTCGTAAGCATAAACGCACAAAGGTGCATAAATCCTACATGCGCTAACCTTTTTAGGCAATTACCTTGATGCACGAAGGGGAGCTTCGGCCGGGGTAGTCGCGCAATGCTTGCGAAATCTGACGTCGAGAGCCCCTCCATCAATCCATCAATCGCAAAATACCGATGCTCCCTTACTGCCTCATTTAAAGTCATAACTTACTTATCCTTTATATCTTGAACAATCCGCGCTAGTACCGACACTTCTGTCCGATACGATACATCCGAGACTATATTTCTAATTAATAGATTAGGTACACCTATTAGGTACACCTATGTAAGAGCCATTAACTTCCCAAAGCCTTTCGACACCATAAAATAGTTTTACTAGTCTACCACCCGACTCACCTCGACATTCCTACGTATACGCGTGGTCCACGATGTTCGATGTCCTATATCCGTAGTCATGGTTGTTAGAATGGTCCTCCGGGCTACTGCCCCTTGTCCGGGCTGCCTCGGCTTGAATAGACCACAATTAAGCCCATGGCTTTCGTCATCGCGTAGTGGTACGCGTATCTTCGCGACGTCGCAATACCCCCTGCAAAAGCCTCATATACTAAGTTTAACCTTGAAAACGAAACCGGGTATAGCCAAGTTCAGTTCCAATGCCGCCAATGCCGCCAAGAAGCCCGCCACTACGCAGAAAGATCCTCTCGCCACGGTCGATAAAAGCGCTCAGGAGCAACGAAAGGCGGATTGGGCGATAATGAAAGAGATGGCACATTACCTATGGCCAAAGGATAGCTTCAACACTAAATTACGCGTGTCTTTGGCTGTTGTACTTCTCGTTGGGGCCAAGGTGTTGAATGTCCAAGTGCCCTTCTACTTCAAGAGCATTGTGGATGCTATGAATATTGACGTGGGAGAGATGGGTGGCACCGCCGCTATGGTAGCTGGAAGCATGATAGTAGCATACGGCGCAACGAGGATAGGGGCCACCGTTTTCCAAGAGCTACGAAATGCCGTGTTTGCTTCGGTAGCACAGAAGGCTATACGGAGGGTTGCTTGCAATGTCTTTGATCACCTACTGCGCCTAGATCTTAACTTCCATCTCACCAAGCAGACTGGTGGTTTAACAAGGGCTATCGATCGAGGTACCAAAGGTATCAGCTTCCTACTTACTAGTATGGTATTCCATATCTTCCCCACAGCTTTGGAGATCGGCATGGTGTGTGGAATCCTTACTTGGCAATATGGTGCGAAATATGCTGCTATCACGGCTGTCACGATGACCGCGTATACTGCATTTACTATCTGGACCACCTCCTGGCGAACTAAGTTCCGAAGGCAGGCCAACGCCGCAGACAACAAGGCCTCGACAGTAGCTGTCGACTCGTTGATAAACTACGAGGCCGTCAAGTATTTCAACAACGAAAAGTTCGAAGTTTCTCGGTACAATAAGGCGCTTCAGGAATACGAAAAGAGTTCTATCAAGGTTGCCACTTCGTTAGCTTTTCTCAACAGCGGCCAGAACATTATCTTCTCGAGTGCCCTAACAACCATGATGTACTTTGCCGCCAACGGCGTGGCAAGCGGCTCCCTGACAGTTGGCGACTTGGTCATGGTCAACCAGCTCGTCTTTCAGCTTTCCGTCCCGTTGAACTTTCTAGGTTCAGTTTACCGAGAGCTCAGGCAGTCTCTTCTTGACATGGAGACTCTCTTCAATTTACAAAAAGTGAATGTTACTATTAAGGAACTTCCTGATGCGAAGCCGCTTCATCTTTCTAAAGGAGGCGAGATCAAGTTCCAGAATGTAAACTTCGGCTACAATGCAGAGCGCCCCATCCTCCGAGATCTAACAATGACAATTCCTGCCGGTAAGAAGGTCGCTATCGTAGGTCCAAGTGGATGTGGAAAATCTACATTATTAAGACTCCTTTTCCGATACTATGATGTTGAGAATGGTCGCATTCTCATCGATGATCAAGACATTCGTCACGTTACGCTAGAGTCGCTGCGCAAATCTATTGGTGTTGTCCCGCAAGACACTCCACTTTTCAATGATACCGTTGAACATAACATCAAATATGGTGATCTGTCGGCGCCCGAAGACCGAGTGATCGCAGCCGCTAAACGTGCTCGAATCCATGACATTATTTCTAGCTGGCCTGCGGGATACCACACCAAGGTTGGCGAGAGGGGTATGATGATTAGCGGAGGAGAGAAGCAACGTCTTGCGGTCTCCAGGTTACTGCTGAAGGATCCGCCTCTGCTATTCTTTGATGAGGCGACGAGCGCACTGGACACACATACAGAACAGGCACTCATGCATAACATTAATAGCATCCTCCGAGAAAAGGCACGGACGAGCGTGTTCGTAGCCCATCGATTACGAACTATATACGATGCGGACTTGATCATCGTATTAAGGGAAGGCAGAGTGGCCGAACAAGGGACGCACAAAGAGCTTATTGACCGAGGTGGGCTATACTCGGAGCTCTGGAGCGGTAAGTAAGCCTGTAAAGGGACACCTATATCCTCCTTAATAACTTCAGATTCTAACTTAAGGCTTGCAGCTCAAGAAACCCTGTTCAACTCTGATGGGGAAAAAGAAGGAGTGGCTAGCGAAAAAAAGTGAATGAAGGGAATGTCAGCAACCAGAAGCCTCGGTCACGATGAACCTTTCGGGTGCTCGCTGATCTTGGGTAGAATAGAGCTGTGAAGACATCCTTTGGGAATCGCGCCCGATTGAAATAGTCGTTCTTGGGAATCCTGCGAGCTATGGTAGGACATAGTAACGCGAGTGTGTTGTATAACATAAACAGTTGAGCAGCAGCAGCAGCAGCAGCAGCATCGTAATTCATGAAGAATATGATAACTTCAAGGCATTATGTTTCTAGTGGGGAGGGTAATCAGCAGTGTCTGTTGAATTAACTCTAGTGTGGGCTCAGTAGGTAGCGATCATGACTTATTGTCCAAAGCACCATCACTTTACCGGACCCATAACCCCCGGTTTGGATAAAAACGCTCATCTTACCAGTGCATTAGAGTGCGATCCCCGTAGGTCGGTGTGGTATAGGTGGGCTAATGTCTGTTGTTGGCGGTCAAGGAGTAAATTTGTCATAGCACTGTTGCTCGACAACGAGCAGAGGGTTTGTTAAACTCAGTACCGCGAGAGACGTTTTCAGACCAACTATGAACTCTGTTTCCCACTAGAACTCGGAACGTTATTTTCGATGATAATGATGATAGTAACTCGGACCTATAAGCACCAACGTTTGGGGATGCGGATCCGGCTGATCATAGTGTTAGTGTTCACATTTCCACATACCTAACCTAAGGTATAGTAGACTGAGCGAGCGCATTCTATATTGGTGATGTGAAGAAACAGTATTATATGTACTCAATTTTATAAGTACCTACAGGTATCTAGAAGCTTACTTCCTAGGTACCTAGGATTAGAAAAGCTGGGATAGTTAGTATATGTCTGTCTAGCTGCTAGGTAGTTGAGGCTGAGGAGAACCTAGGCGAACATGTACTACCGCATCTAAGGATTTCCTATACTCTTTCTGAGCAAGTACCTACATGTAGGTACGCAAATCCGTTCGTTTAATTTAATTTAAACTCTCACGACCAAAATCAAAATTATAATTATCATTTAAGAGGACCAACCATCCTCATTGATGGTTTGAAACCAATGGAGGCCGTATCCCAAGTAAGTCTTTCAAAGCGACCCCCCGTCTACCTCGTAGGTATATCCTATCCTATAGCGCTATGGGACGTTATCTCAACGTATTGACCCCGTGGTCGTTTCTTAACCTAAGCCTACCTACCTAACCTGTATAGCACCAACGCACGAATCGCAGAGGGTTACATCACGGCTACGAAGGCCCTCTGTTCATTCCCCCTTCTCTGCTCTTAGTCTAGTGGCTGTGAAGACATGCTCCAGGCCTGGCAGATCTTGTCTTAGATAACCTTCCTATTCCGGCCTACTTACCTAGGTCCTAGGTTAGGTATGTGTATGCAGAAAATGCCCGACCGATTTCTGCTCGAGAGGGGATATCCCGTAGATTTCTGTTGAGTCCGGTTGTCCTCATATGTATATATTATCCGGGCATACCTAAGTTTAATCAAAGCCTATGTGCTTGTGTACGTGGTCGGCGCCTAGACGTTGCTCGTGTCTAAACTCTAACCCAACTTATACACGACGACTGATACACGCTAGACACAACTGTATCCAAAGGGTACCCAGAATGGGCTATATATGGTCTATATCATTCGAGCAATATCCATTCCAAGTATACCGATTTTAGTCGTGTCCTCTTGACCTTTATTTCTCCCCTTTCCCATTCCCATTATTCTACCTTATGTCATCTCAAACTCTTCTATTTCACACGATTTAGAACACACAATGTCTAACCTCAGAATGTTTTCTTGGTTTTACATAGCCATCTCTGCAAGCATCTTCTCCGTAGTTCTCGGTCACAACGGGAGGAGGGACCTTCCATCTGTAGACCTAGGATACGAAATTCGTCAAGGATCAGTAAATGTGCGTTATCCCTCCCTAGGTACCTAGCCAGCTTAACCACTTCAAGTTCGAGATGATCGCCTGTATTTACTGCTTGGGGGGGAGGGGGAGAAGAGCTCGGGAACTTACCTGGAGGGTACTAACAGGTTGGCATAGGAAACTGGCAACTACTACATCTTCAACAACATTCCGTACGCGCAGCAGCCGGTCGGCGACCTACGCTTCCAAAAGCCCGTTGCTATCGTCGAAACCGAAGGAGCACCGGGTGACGATCATGGCAACGATGATGTTGTCATGTGCCCGCAGGCTTACCCGCAATGGGTTATTAACCTCCTAGCAGAACGCAGTGGAATCGACAAGACCACAATGGGGTCTATACTCAACAACCAACCCGGTCAGACGGAGGCATGTCTAGTGCTCGACGTCTACGTGCCCGCGGACATCTTCGACGAGGGCCCTACTGCGAATGGTGAGTTGCATTGTGATACTGCTAGCATGGCTTAGCATACGTACGTACCTTAGATACATAAATACCTAATAACCACGAACTTTGCAGCGTCTGTTCTCGTGTGGATACACGGAGGCGGCTTCACATTTGGGTCCAAGAATCTATACGGCAACCCAGCCGGCCTGATCGCTAGATCTCAAAGAAATGACCTAAAAGGAACCATTATAGTCTCGATCAACTACCGATTGGGTATGTATGGCTGGCTATCTGGCCAGGATGTCACGCCAAACCTTGGACTTTATGACCAGCGGCTTGCTATGGATTGGATAAACGACTATATCGTCTTATTCGGAGGCGGCCTAAATAGAATGACGGTTATGGGTGAGAGCGCAGGGGCTGCGAGTATCGTCCACCAGCTCACAGCGTTCGACGCAACGGAAATTTCCCCGTTTACGAAGGCGATTATCCTGTCCCCTGCATTCCAACATAACATCGATCTGGGTGACAATTATCTTAAAACGCTAGCGGAGGCTTCCAAACAAACCGGACGCGAAATCTACAACGTAGATCAGCTACGTGGACTGCCAGCTGATCTGCTGCAGCGTATTAACCAAGGAACTGTCACCTCGGCACCCCTGGGTACATTTGGCTTCGGCCCCGGGCCCGACAACTCGTTTGTGGCGGATATACCGCAGAAACAACTTTACCAAGGAAAATTCGACTCTACCGTTGACGTGAGTGATTTCCCCTCGCCTAATAGAACCAAATATTCGATGGGGTACTGCTAACACCGCAAACTAGCTATTCATAAGCCATACATCCCATGAATCCGCACCCTTCCTGCCGAGCGGCATAAACACCGCGGCTGACGTGGAGGCATACGTACGAAATAGTTTGCCGGCTGCCTCGAACTTGACCATTAATATGCTGCTTACGGATCGGGGACTGTATCCGGATGTACTAGGCGGCGGGTACCCATGGAAGACGCAGGCTGGGCGAGCAGAGCGTCTAGCCTCCGACATCAGCTTCGCGTGCACGACGCAGTACCTATCGAGAGCGCGAGACAACGAGACCTTCAACCTTGTCTTCACGCACCCGCCCGGCTGGCATGCCGACGACGTGCCGTACGTATTCTTCAACGGCGACACGACCACGCCGGATAACAAGTCCCCCGTCAGTGGACGCTTAGCAACGCAGCTGCAAGATTACATCGTCACATTTGCTCAAACCGGAACCCCGAACGCGGGTGGTGGACCGCGCTTCCCGACGTACGGAAAGAATTCGACGGTACTAGAGTTGGGGTATAAGAGTTTTAGGAGATCGAGAGATGATTTATGGGGTAAGAGATGCGGGTGGATCCAGCAGGCTATGGTCGACGGAAGGTTGTGATTTACATTTCGTTCTGATTTTGGTGACTCGACTGAGATATCTTCCCGTTGGAGATGATTTTCCATTATACCCCAGTTATGATGTTGGAAGCATAGCCGTCATCTAGAGTTGTAGGGGTAGCCAACATAGGTTTATTGCATAATTTATTCATATTGTTGTTCCATTAGCTGCAAGAGGTTGAAAAGGGGTCCTTTGCATCCGGCAATGTCTTGCAGTTTTTAACATTTACATCATGTTACTGGCTAATGTTTATGTATATTTGATCGGCCGTGCCATCATGTTCGAGGTGGCCGGGTGAGCATATAGGGTTCTCTGGATTGTAATAACGGTCCTCGTATTATACCTATTCCGGGTCAACCAGCTTCTAAGCCAGACACCGGATGGGGTCTGGCAGCTGTCGGGTTCAGGCTAGATGATGGATCAGCTGAATGAGACCTATAGACAATTGCAAGAGAGGCCAATAGACTATACTAGTAAACTTCCGCCGAAACTAGAGCGTCGCTATATTGTGGCGGGAGGTTCGGTAAGTATTTTTATTTAAGCCCTGGCTTTTGCTTGTAGAGAGTGCCGCTTAAAGCTTGAATTCCTGCTTACAGGGCTTGCGGGTGGTTTCGTCGTGCTTCAGCTTCTAGCTCGTGGTAACCTACCGGAGAGTATTCGAATTATTGACATTCGGAAGACCGAGCGCAATGACATGCGTTCCGGACGGGCTACAGAGATCGAATCTGTACAGATATCACATCATCCGATCCTGTCGATGCTGCTTTTGCACGTCCATGGCATCCTAGCGTTTCTCATCTACCGCTGACAGTGTTCCACACTGCGGCGGTGATTCTAGCTTCGGAACGGTCTATGTAAATTTCAGTATACATTTCCGGAAGCCGTCAACGTGATAGGGACAAAGAACGGGCTAGTAGCCGCCCGCAGAACCGGTGTGGATATTTTTAGCTCCACATCACCCGGGTCCATATCCATTCGTCCTGTCGAAACGTTTGTACTCCCATGGGCAAGCTCGCCACGAAAATTTTGGCACATTCTTGATGTAGGCGACTTCAATGCGCCTCTAAGAGGACGCGAGGGATACTTCGCTAATTACCCTGCTTCGAAAGCTGTTTCAGAAAAAGTTGTCTGTGGTTCGAATAACGAGAACCTTCGCACCGGTTGCGTTCGTCCTGCAAATGGCGTCTACGGACACCCGACAGATAATACCGTCGGGGACCCTCTTGGCAGAACTGTCTTACCTAGGTGGGTTCTCTGTCACCCAGTGTACTATGCTTACACCAATATGAACAATGATAATTGGGTATCCCATATCGTACAGAGCTTTGTGCACGGCGCGAATGTACCCATTACGCACCTACAGCACGAAGCAGCGCTTGCTCGGCCTTGGATAGAGAGCTTTAGACAGGCGGGCCGTCCATTCGTAGTAACAGACCCTAACCCACTAATGTACAGTGATCTGTATAACGCGATCGAAATTCTCTCAGTGCACCCATTTCGCATTATCGAGGTGCCACCCGTCGTCATGCTTCTCCTCCCGCGCATGTGGTAGAGATCTATGCTGAATTACCTTATAAGTATCCGCTTTTACGCAAAGTACTACCTGAACTTAAAGGTGATATCAAACACCTCAAGCCGGGGATTTTCTCGATATGTACTCATCTAATCGCATCGAATGACGAGATTAGGAAGCCGGTTTCTCAAGGTGATTTGGGATATACCGGTGTACTCATTACGCTAGAGAGAATGTCGTTAGATATCCTAGAATGTAATAAAGAGCATGTCGATGATGTCAAGATGAGAAAGGCCTACACAACGTCAGTCTCCCTAGCAGAACAAATTCAGGAGCTCTAGTTAGTGCGAGGCAGTTCTGTCTCCAGTTGGCAATGATATGCAACCTCACCAATGCAATGACAAATGCGAACATACGCACTCATTCCGTCGTTTTGCATATTCAAGATATTTCCTATTATAATGGTGAAGACAATTCCGCATATCCCATCTGTGCGGTGGCTCTGCATGTGTCAAGTTCTGTGAGCAACACCAGCATTGCTGATACTGATTATGCGCATATTGATCTACCTAGGAGTTAGCTGAAGGTAGGTAGCTAACGCATAACTTACAGTCCGCAAATCGCAAGGTTGTTGACGTTTGAATTGTGCTTGCGATTATATTATCTGCATTGTCACAGCATCCATTCTCGGAATAGATATTCGAAGAATTGATGGCTCCTTAGTGAAAGTAATCGGCACCGAGGGGTCGTATGCAAAATGCAAAATGCAAAATGTAAAAGGACTTTTCATCATTTCAATTGGAGGTTTTCGTCATTTCTTTGTTGGTTTGCCTAAAGTTAGGAGGTAGACATGGCATTGCATTGCATTGCATTGCATGTTTCTGCCTCTTATGTTACTGGCTTTCTCAATTGGCCTTTTTTTTTTTTGCTCCGCCCTTTTCTTTATTAAATTAAAATAACTTTCGATTTGCGGTGGATAGGTAGAGATCCAAGATTCTGTCTAGATAACCCCGGATTCGTGAGTCGATGGGCGAGTTCGCAACCTTTCATCCCCTCGCCAAGTCTTAAAAAGGACCCAACAAATCAAAAATGCCATCGGATTCGAACGGTTCAAATGGTGCGCATTGGCCTATGCCTGAAACGTGGTTTCCCCTCTGCCCCTGCGTTGGTCTATGCAGGCGCTTTATCATAACGGGTAAGGCTTTATGCACGTTAGACAGGCTAGGATAGGCTTATCAGGATAAACTGGGAGCGAACACGTGCTAGAACAATCTTGGTTCCAGCCCCCGGGGGGTATGAAATGTTCTGCTAATATTCCACTTATTCGCGTGCTTTTTAGTGGCTAGGTTAGTGGCTAATCCGGCTAGACATTCTGCGACGGTAGGGGGGCCGAAGCCTAAAACCTTGCCTTTGGCTGCATTTAGCTGCGTCTTTAGCGAGCTTAGCTGCTTAGGTAAATCAAAGCTGAACTTCCCCTTCCCATCTTACGGTCTTACCATCTTCACTCGTTCCTGACCCTGTTGGCTCATTTCTATGCGAACTCTCTTTCCCCTGTCAATAAGTCAATAAGTCGTCCTAAGTCGTCCTAACTCGTCTCTAATCTGCTCGCCTCTTTTTATTCTCTTCTGTTCCCCCCAACCCCCAATTTCCATTCTTTTACTAGTCACTCATAAACTCGACTACATATCCGACTGCATACCCGGTGAACACAGGACTGTTCCCTTTCGTTCGTTTATCACGAGTACCTAGTTTCCGAATTGACCGGAAAGATACATCGATCGCTACTGTATACGCGCTCCTTCATACCAAAAAAACTCACGACTGTACCTGTTAGAACACAATAGACATCAATTAAATCAACCAAGGAGGGTTGAGTCGTAATACCAATTGGATTGCAAAAAGTCAACGACACCACCGCGAAGCACAAGAAATCTGCTCCAAGCAGAGTAACTGGGAACCCAATCCATCACAATGCCGAGCTTCATCGAAAAGATTCAAGCCAAGCTTGAGCTATTCCGGCTCGAGCAGCGATACACGCGCAACCGCCATCGCCGCTCTGCTTTCATCAGCAATGCCATCTACGTCGATGGCGAGTACATCTACCAAACCCCCAACACCACGGGATCATCTACCAATAGTTCCTCCACTGCTGCCTCGTCGCCAGTCGAAGAGCCTAATAGACGACATAGTGCTATCGTCGAAGAGCCAAGAAGCCGTTATAACATGGAACCCCAGACACCGGCGCAGAAGAAGCGATTAAACCGATTCTCATCAATGCCGGGATTCGGCTCCTCGTCAAAGAGCAGCTCTCGTGACTGGAGACCTGACGTTGCCGACGTGAACGAAGTACGGTGAACAAACAATGGGGGATGTTCATCAAGAAGACAACGATAGATGAAATTACATTAGGCCGGTGTACATGGTGTCATGAGCTGACTAGGGATTGTTTGTGTTTGAATATTCCAACTCAATAGGTGGTTTAACTATCGTCATAGAGCATCAAGGACTTTGACGATTGCCCTTCGATCAGTGTTTGGTGTATCGCCAAGTGCTACAGTATCATAGAGATATCCTGATCGTGCGAAGGCTTTTGGATTCGGCGTTATGACACGATTTTTCAGCTGTATATATTTGCTCTCACGACAAGGGAAAATTGAATAGTATTTCAAAGCTCATGACTTAATTTGGGTTTTTAGTCCCATGGAATTAGAATTACGTACCTTTTAATCCATTATATCGTTCTAGCTGCTTAGACGCTACACATGACGATTTTATTCTACAACGATGTCGCCCCAATTTATAGTCGATCAAAAGTGACGTTGAATATTCTCTTTTTATCTAGAAAGGATCGTCAGGTTACTGCCGTGGGTGCAACCCCCCAAGTAGAAGTCAGAATATGATTGGACCCGGCTACAAGCCAGTTCATCCTCCTTACCGCATGTCGTTATCTGCTGGTACTATTATACCCCTACTATCATAATGCCTCTTAATATATTTGAAGCAAGGCTAATTATGACATTATCAATGGGCTCAAGAACTACATTGCCCTTCATCAGCAAGATAGGGATTTTGCCGATACTAGCTGTTCATGCTACTATGAACTTACGATCCACACAATTGTCATTTCAGCTGATATTTAGATGAGCGAGCAGCACTTTATGAGCCTACCTACGTCGTGGGACTATCTGTCACGGTTCGTACTTGATAGATCATGCCTACGACACATAATCCGGCAGTACTTTAGACATTGGTCGCATCTGTGCACCTATGTTCTAAGACACAGCAGTAGCACCGATCTCAGCGTGTAAATCTATATATATTATATTCCAACCTGTGGTAGAACCTATCTATCCTGAAACCCAGTTCAAGTCGAGTAACGTACTCGGTAATATCCTCTCTGCATTCTCAACCTTCGACGGAATTCTTCACCCATTATCGGACTTCTTCGCTCGGACTAACCCTCTAGACATCAGTCTCGTTCAATGAAGACCTCATCCTGAGGTTTCCTCGTCGCAGGTTACCTATAGGTTGCGATACGTTAGCGATATTCACTCCTTAAGAGATATTTGGAATCTACTGCAACTTACCAGGAGACCGTTTCTCGTTTGCGGCTTCGGAGAAGTTTCCATTCCCGCGGGAAACTATTGAAGTTCGCATTAGCCAAACTCGTCTATTCATCACGGTATCTCATGAATGTGTACCTAAAGAGCCGGTCACATTTTCCGTTGAATTCACACCCCTTGGGATCACTATTACTTTCAGTTAGCCCAAAGCTACCTCTCTTATCAATACTGCCCGAACGGCCGGTACACGTACCTAATGACCTAGCAGCATTCTCCGTGTCGTTTGACCTACTTCCGACTACAACTCTGGGTGCTAAATATTGTTAGCTGGATTCAGACTGTAGATAATACGATAGTTATCATACCGAGTTCCAGTGCCCGAGCCGCAATGCTGGCAGCTATATGATCGGTTAGCGAACATATTCAAGCATTTCCTCTTGAGGACCTTTTATTTAATTTTAAGGGACTCATAGTGTAAAACATACGTTCAGCCGAAATAGCTCGCCTCTCACTTCTGAATGCTGGCGTACCCGTCACGAAAGAGCCGGCTGAGGCCAAGAGGAAAAGGATCGCGCCAAAGTTCTTCATGATGTTTGATTATGCGGAAGCGACAGGAAACTGGATTCGATGTTGAGCTATGGAGGACTACCTGGTCCAGAAAATAAAACTGGATTAGACCGAGTTAGCAATAGGGGAGCGTAATAAGCAGCCTTGTAAAACTCACATTGAGCTGGTTTCTAGTTATGCAACACAGGAAGACAGCAAGTGGAATAGAATATTTTGAGAGATGTATACGGAATAGTACGTAGGCTATCACAGAGGATTACAGGAAGACAATATATATCATATGCTTGATAGGGGGGTACCACAGCCTCCTAGATAAACAGTTCACACAAACATATTGCGATCGCCCGTCCCCTCAGCACGTCTAGTGTGGTCGTTGGAATGGAATATTCCGGGATTCGATCAGACCAGACCCTCTTATTATGAGAACACCGGGTCTCCTAGGTCGCGTTGACTTGGCTACCGTGAAGCGTTTCGAGGCCTTCCAGCCGCACAGCTTTATCGCCGTGTCCCTGTCCTCGCAGCCACGTACCTATCACAGATACCCTCCATCGCGGTGAGCACCTCGCTGCGCCTAGCGGTGCGACCCTTACACTATACTATGTAGGTATGTACATAGACGCTCGACTCACGGCGGACAAAAGCCAAATCCGCACAGCTCGTTGGCTTGTGGCGGTCGCACATCAAACCGGACCGATCCACAGGCTAGAAAATCCGGATACCTAACGGTTAGTGATTGACGGCGTGTGGGAATCGAAGGGGGTGGAGCTGCGACGTGATCGGCTGGCTTATCATCGCCGATCGCCCTCGCTGGCGGTCGCTCTCAGCCTCTCACTCCCTCCTGCCCCTGATTCACATGTCAGCGATCTTCCAATCAGAACGGTGCAAGTTTACAAAGGGCAAGGCTGGGAAGATGGTTCTACATATTCCGTACATAGATACTAATGGGTCTTGATTGAGTAATTGGCGGTAAGAGCTTCACTTACACTACTTTGGCCATTCGAGATACACAACATCAAGACACATAATTACCTAGATGTCTAACCTAGGTATGTACGAATAATAACTGTTCCCTTCTCAAAGGTTAGTAGTACAGCCAGCGCCTCTTTGTATCACGAAGCGTTCAGACCATGATAAAACGCCTATCATATTACATTCTAGAGGAAAGTCTCAGCCCTACGCGACCGTGCTGATACAGTGATAGGCAAGTAATTATGGATCATGACGTCAGAGCCATCTTCGTTTCCAAATATCATTTGCAGAACCGCGGGACTGAAACATTTTCCGTTAAAGGCGGCTGGCTTGGCCGGGGCTCACGTCTCTCAATAGACCATCGATAATTATGAAGTCAATAAGAAACCCCTTAAACTGTTGGCTAATACCTAATCTTTGGATGAGTCTGATCTGGATTATCGCGACGAATCTTAAGTGTTAATTTTATATCAAGACTCCGCTGCCCGCCTACCCTGGATGAGGCCTTGCGATACTTTGGGTGTGATAAATGGCCAATAAAGGGGGCACCCGTCATTAATCATAACTCAATTGAGTGCATTTAAATAACATCAGGCTGACCCTCGGAACTAAACTGTTAAATCATCATATTGAGCATATGAACGCCACGAGGTCTTGCTGAGAGTGGCTATGGACTGCAAGTATATTGACGCTAGAGTATATATTATGTCGCTGCGCGTCTGGGTGATATACGACGATGCAATCACGACATCCCCAGTATGCCGTCGGCTGGGTGGAAGAAGCCAGCTATCATGGGATGGCTCTTAGCTGTGCTGAGGATGGCAGTGGTAGGTATCTATATTTATGTTACGACATGCCTGGAAGCTATTGAAGAATTTACAGATTTATAACGGTATCCCTACCCCATGGACTCGGCGGAACCGATATCATTACCACGAGCTCCAATGATTCTTTGACATGAGACTACCTTTACAAGGTGCTGGCTGGCGAGGTAGACGGGGCCTCCGACGTAGTCCATCTTACAGTACACCTAAACTCCGTCTAATTCACAAGGAATGCCGGGTCGAGAATAATCCATCGTTCAACAGTCTACATACAAGTCTTTGATTCACTAGTTCAACTCGAAATCCGGTCCCTGCAGAGGCAAATGGAGAAGCCCCCCACGATTATATTCCCATTTCGTCCATCAGTCAGTCACGTAATCCTCCGAACATCCTTGCTTCCGAGACATGCCTCTAAATAGATGTCATCCGGGCTCCGGTTAATATCCATACACCCCCAGTGAGCTTGTTGAAGACTTTGGCCGCAGAAAATGAGATAGCTCAGTGGCTTTGGAGGTATTTGGTTACGAGCCCATGCAGTGTTGTCTACGATGCATCTCCTTCAACCGTATGATTGGCGAGCTATAGGTCGACTTGAGTAGGGAAACATGGCGTTCTTCGCTTATGTAGGTACTTTAGGTAGCATTGGATGTTCTGCTCCATCGGGTAGTCATGGTTATAGATCACATGAGGTTCCAGCATGTCACTAAGCTGCGGCTGCTACTTTCCGCTTCGATACCGGCCTCGCGTTTCGGAGTTTAGGTCTGGAATATGACTTTGGTTTGCCACTGATAGCCTAGGCGATGGCTTAATTCATTCTAACGCAGGAGAAAAGGAGATATACCGGCTTAGTTCTTGGTAATGTTACGTAGTCATACGGAAGAGTTTAGCAAATATGTCAGAAAAAACCTTTAATGTATGTCATATGTAAAGTAAATATTAAAAGTAATAGCGAAGCTGTTATATAATAGTTGTGTAATAGTAAAAATCTATTAACGTTTAATCTTTTATTTTTTTATAAAAACGCGAAGTATTTTTTTATATATTTATTTTATATAAATTTATGCTTAATTTATATTAGTTTTATTTATACTTTAATAAAGTTATTTTTTTTTACAATGTTTTTATTTTTAAAAATAATAATTAATTAAAAAGTTATTATAATATATATGCGTTTTTATGGTATTTTTTAATATTGTTTTTTATAGTTTTTATAAATTTTTTGTAAATTTTATTGTTATTATATAATTTTTTTATTTTATATATAAGTAATAAAAGTAATAATGGTATATATAAATGTTATTATTTTTTTTTTTTTTTTTTTATTTTTTTTGTTTTTTTATTTTTTTTTTAATTTCTTATTTTATTTTAATATATTAACCTTTTTAATTATATTTAATTTGCCTTTTACTAAAGTTTATTATATAATATATTAACGGTGTTATTATGTTTTTATGTAATAACGTTTTAGTTAATTTTTTACCGTTTTATATATTAAAATTAATAATAAATTGTTTTTTTTATAACTATTAAAGTTTTTTTAATTATGTTAACTTATAATGTAAATGTATTTTAAAAATATTAACGTTATTTTAATATATGTAAAAGTTATTAATTAATTTACGGTAACGTTTATATTATTAAACGTTTACGTTATACTTTTAAATAATATTTTAATTTTTGTTTTATATATTATTTTTTATTTTTTATAATTTTTTATTAACCTTTTTTATTAAAACAAAATTATTATTACGTAAAAAAAAATGGTAAAGTTTTTATAATAAATTAAAAACTATTAAAATATAAATAAAAAATATATTATAAAATACCGGCGTAAAAAGGTTAAAAACTGTAAAAACCGGTTATTAATTATTTATAAAAACCTTTATTAATAAGTTATTAATATAGTTATTATTTTTTAAAAAATTTATAATAATATAATATATTACATGTAATTTTAATATATTGTAAATCCCGCTTTTTTTTTATTTTTAAAATTTTTATTAATTTTTATTTTTTAAAACTTTAACTTTAACGTTAAAAAGTTTAAATTTAAATTTGACATTAAAGATTTCTTTTAAATATTTATTGTAATAAAAGCTTTAAAAGCTTTTTTTATTACCTCGGCTACCTTTTCACGTTATTATACTTAACCCCGGATTTAAAGTCGTTATATTAAAAAACTTATTAAAAGTTCCGTTTATTATTTTACGGCTTACGCCGCGAATTATTCTTTTAATTAACTTTTTAACTTTTTTACAAATCTTTTTAATAATAACAATATTATTAATATAAGTATTTTAATTATTATTATTTTTACCGGAAATATTACAAATAATATTATCTTTAATAAAAATACGTTAATAATAAATTAATTACGTTATTATAAAATTATTACTACGTATTTATTATATAATTTTTATTTATAATTAATCTTTAATTTTTTTAAAATATTATATACCTTTTTTTATAAATTATTATTATTAATATATTTTTTCTAATAAATTAAATATTATTTATTTTTATTATTTTTTTTATATTTTAATATTATTTTAATTGTAAATTTATTATTATTAATAAACGTTATTTATTATTTTATAAACTTTTTATTAAGTTTTTTATTATATAATTTTAAATTGTTAATGTTAAATATATTATATATTTTATAACGTAATAATAATTTTAATTTATATACCATTTTATAATATTTAATAATTTTTTTAATTTTAAAAAACTTTAAATATTTATTTATAAACTTTTTATTAAATTGCTTTTAATTTATATTTTTTATAAAAATTAATATTAATTATTTTTTTATAAATATATATTTTTTTTTATTTTTATTATATTATTTTGCGTAAGTTTTATTAAAAATTTAAAATAAAATTACAATTATTTCTTTAATTTATTAAACTTTATTTATTATTTTTATTTTTTTAATTGCGTTATATTTAAAACGTGGTGTTATAAGGTTTATAAAACTTTAAAAGTTATATTTATTATATAAATAAATTAATATTTATTTATAAATTAAGTAAATTAATATATTATATATTTATTTTGTTAAAATTAGTTTTTTTGTTTAATTATTTTGTTCGAAATTGTAAAAAGTTTATAAATAATGTTTTAAGTTTTGGTTTTAACGTTTTATTTATTTATTTATTTACGGGTAAAATGTTATATTTAACTAGCGTTTTATTATAAAGTAATAATATAAAATTAATTAAAATTTATTTATAAATAAAGACTTTTTATTTAATATAATGTTTTTTAATAAATTTATTTATAAAAACACATATTTAAAAAATATATTAGTTAATTTAAACGTTATAAGTTTTTTTATTATTAAAATATATAAAATATATTTTAAAAATTTGTTTATTACGATTAAAATATTATTATAACTTTTGTTATTATATGTTAATAAAGCCAGTAACTTAATGATGAAATTTAATGATATTTTTTTATTTAATCCGTTTAATATTAAAAAAGATCTTAACTTTTTATAAGGTAAATGCTTTTTCGTTTTTGTTTTTTGGCAAATTATATACGTATTAATATAATATTTAACGTTTTTTTATAAATTATTTTAATAATAATATTTTAATAATTATTAAATTGTTTTTATTATTTTTTAATATTTTAATATTAAAGCGTTATAATAATTTTAAAGTATTTTGTTATATAATTTTAAAAATATATAAATTTTATTCTTAAATTTAAATAAGCTGTTTTTTAAAAATTATATTAACATTAATAAGTTCCGGCTATTTTATCGGTTTTTTTATTTATTTAAAATTATAAAATTGTTATTTTTTTATTTTTTATAAATTTTATTTAATAAAAGCGTATTTAACTTTTTATTATTCTTTAAAACTATTAATACAAAATTATATTTAAACGTTTTTTTTGCAATTATAATTTCGGAATTATTATTATTATAAAAGTTTAAAATATCTTGGTTATTTTCGAATTTTATTAAAAATTTTAATAACGTTTTTTACTTTATTTTATATACATTTAATAATAAAATATATATTTTTATAATTACCTTTTATTCGATTATTATAAAATTATTTATTATTATATTAAATATTTTTTAATTATTTCCAAATTTTATTTAAAATTTTAATAATATATTTTTTTTAGTTTTAATTTTTTTTATAATATTTATATAATTAAGTTTTTATAATGTTTTATTTATTAAATTAAAAATGCTTAACTTATAAATAATTTTAAAATTAAAATTAATTAATTTCTTTATTTATTATATTTATTTATTATTTAATTTTAATTTTTTTATAATATATTAAAAGTTTAAATGGTTTATAATAACTTTTATTATTTTTAATAAATAAATTAAATAATATTGTTATTTTTTAAAAGCATTTATTATTATTAACATTTTTATATTTAAAATTATATAATATATTTTAATACCTTGTAATTTTTTTAACAAAAACGTTATTAAATGCCATGTATTTCCGTATAATTATAAAAAAACTACGTTAACGGCTTATTATAAAACGTTGGTTTTTAGCCAAATTTATAACGTTATATTAAAATAAGTTAAAATAAAAACTTTTGCAAATATTAATTTTAATTTTGTAAAAACTTTTAACGTTTTACTTTTTAAATTAAAATAAAATAACGTTTTTTTTTTAAAATGTTTATTAATAAAGTTATTATTTTTAAATAATTATAAATAAATTGTTTATAAAATTTTATAAAGTTTAAAAATATTTATATATTATAAATATTATAAAGTATTAATTATTTTAAAATTGCCAAAATTTTATTTTTATTTATTTTTATTCCGTTTATAATTATTATAAAATTTAAAAATGTTACTTTATTAATATGAAATTTATATTTTTTCGGATTTATATAAAACTTTTATTTATGTAACTTTTTAAAAACGTTATAAATATTTTAAATATATTACTTTTTATTTTTTAAATAAATTAAAATATTATTTAAATATATAATATATAATATATTAATTAAATTTATAAAAATTTTATTAATATAATTTTAAAATAAAATTAAAGCGTTTAATAATCCAAACAATATTATTAAATATTTAAAATATTTATATTTAATATAAAACGTTATTTTTTACTTATTTTTTACTTTAATACATAACTAATAATATGTATTTTTTAAGTTTAATTTTATAAAGTATTTTACTTTTAAAAATTTATCCAAAATTTTACTAATTAAAGAAAAAGTAATATAATCTTTTTTTATAATTTTATTTAAACTGTAATAATTAATATATAATTGCAACTTTTTTTTTAATTTTAAAACAAATAATACCAAGGCTTTTATTAAACTTTTAAAAGATTAAATTTATTTTTTTTATAAAACGTTATTAATATATTTTTTAAAAATTCTTAATTCCGTTTTTATTAAAAAATAAATTAAACTAAACAAAGGTTTTTTACTTTTTTTAAAGTTAATAAAATGGTTTTAATCCTGGTATTTTAAAAAAATAAATGTTTTTTTTATATTAAAAACGTTTATAAATTCCTTATATTCTTTAAAAATAAAAGATATTATTATTTCATTAAACGTTTTTTACAAATTAAAACATTATAAAATTATGGTATTATTATTATTTTTTATTATTACTATTATAAATACTATTATTTTTTTTATTTTTTATATAATTTTATATATTTCTTTTTTTTTTTATATTAAATTTATATTTTTAAATTTAATAAAATAATGCCATATTTTATTAAATCTTTTTAAAATAATGTTAATTTTTATGATTTATAATATCTTTAATATAACTTTATAATTAAAATTTTATTTTATTATATTAATAAAATTAATAATTTTTTATATAACTTTTTAATTATCTTTAACCTTTATAATAATATAAAATTATATTAATATTTTTCTTTTTCCAAAAAATCTTTTTATTTTTTTTTTAAAATAAAATCTTTTCGTATTTTTAATAAAACGCAGTTAACCTTAATTAAATTATAATTAAATTTTATATTTATAAAAATTTTAAAAAAAATTTATTTACTTCTTATTTATAGCTTTACCGCTATTTTAAAACGGATTTAAAAAAAAGTTAATTTTTATTAAAAATTTTAAACGTTTTTTATTTATATTAAAATATTATTTAAATTAATTGTTAATAAATTATTATTTAATTATAAACATTTATAAATAAAATATTTATATTTTTAACATTTATAATAAATAATTTTTAAATAATAAAATTTAATATAATCTTTTTTTTTATAATTAAAATAATTTATTAAATATTTTAAACCTTTAACGTTTAAAATAAAAGTAAAAATAAATTCCTTATTTTAATTAATAACCTTTTACTTATTTTTAATAATATTATAACCATTATTTTTTTATTACATCGTTTTAATATTAAACTTTTTAACCTTTTTTTTAATATTTTTTATATTTTTTTATTAATTTTTATAAATTAATTTAAATAATTTTACTTTATTTTTTAACTTGCCACATATTGCCGGCATAAATTCCCTAATATATTTAACTTTTAATTTAAAAATTAATTTAATTAATAAATTAAAAATTTTTGTTTTTTCCGAATATTGTTTTAAATCTTTTATTTTAATTATTTTATACTTTTTTAAAAAAGCTAAAAATAATTTATTAAACCTTTAATATAACTTTTATATTATTATAAAAAAATCAAATGCTTTTAAATCTTTATTTTTAATTATATTATATAATCACTTTTTTATTTTTAATTATAAAATCTTTTTAAAATTTTTATTATTATTGGCAATATATTAAAATTATTATTTAACTACTTTATTTTTTAAATAAAACGTTATATATAAAGTTTTATTTTTATTTATATAATAATATTTTAAAAAAAACTTAACTTTAAAACTTTTTAAAAAAGTTATTAATTTTACGCCATTATTATTTTTATCTTTTTTATAAATAATATTAAATAATAATAATTTATTAAAAGTTAAATTTTTATTATAATTACTTTTTTGCCGTTTTTTTTTATAATAAAAGTTTTTTATAATATAAAAAGTAAATTGCTTTTTTTTTAAAGTTATAAAATGTTTAATTTTACGTTTTTTTTAATTTTATTTTTTTAATTACTTAATATATTTATCTAATTTTTTTTTATTATAACCTTTAAATTAATAATATTTAATAATATTATTATATTAATTATTATCGAAATAAAATTTATATTTTTTATAAATATATTATTATTATTTTTTAATTAATTTTATAATATATAATTTAAATCATTATCGATTATTTTTTATTTAAAAAATATAACGTTTTATTTTTTAATAAAAATTATTATAATAATTTAATAACAATTTTATTTTTAATAAATAATTTATATTAATAAATAAAAACGTTAAATTATTAAAAAAAACCTTTAATATATATTATATATAAAATAAATATTAAAAATAATAATAAAACTATTATATAATAATTATATAATAATAAAAATTTATTAATATTTAACTTTTTATTTTTTTACAAAAACGTAAAACGTTTTTTTATATATTTATTTTATATAAATTTATATTTAATTTATATTAACTTTATTTATATTTTAATAAAATACATTAATGTTTTAATATTATAAAGTTATAAAATAATTTTATAATAATGCGGGCGTAAATAAATATTATCATGTCATTTAAAATTACTCATAGTTATTAAAGTTTTAAACGAAAGTTTTACATAAAAGTTAAAAGTTTTTATATGTTATTATAGTTTATATCGGTTTACTTTACGCTTTTAACTCGAATTAAAATTAGTTACAAATTTGAATTAATATACCTTTACTCATTAAATGTGATAAAATTATTTCTAAAACTTTTTTCCTAATCTACTTGATAAAAGATGAATTATACAATTGAAAGGTTAAATTATGCTTCAATATATGTAATGGCAGTCTACTCCTTATACACGCCCCACAATGCATCCATAAAGTGTCCAACGAACTCTAGCGTGATTGCCCTCTGTACATACCTTAGGTAGGTAGGTACTCAATGACTTCTTCCACCTGCTTCTCAGAATTTGTAATACCAAGTCTTTACATACATAGGTATGTACGAACTCACTGCACCACGCACGGTGACTGAATCCATAACATTCAAAATACACAATCTCCGTCGCGTTCGGACACAAAAAGGGGCGTGGCCCTAGTGCGGGGCTCTTTACCTCCCTTTATCTCCATAGTCCGAAGCCGAAGCCTGAAAGCATCGCGAGTCAAGGGAGGCCATTGCCAAGAGAACACGATATATAAAGGCCGTGTAACAAGTCTTTGATATCTAGAAGATAAGACTACCACTATCAGTCTATAATATAAATTTCGAGATCTCCAAAGTCCTTGTTACAACTTACAATGGCCCCGCTCTACAAGAAAACCCTCATCATCGGCGCCACGTCCGGCATTGGCGAGGCCCTCGCCGCGAAACTGCACGCCGAGGGCACTTCTGTAATTGTGACGGGCCGCCGCCAGGACCGTCTCGACGCGTTCGTTGCGAAGCACCCCGGGTCCAGCGGTGTCGTGGTCGACATTACCAAGTTCGACGACATCCCGTCCTTCGTCACCTCCGTCACGCAGCAGCACCCTGATATCGACAGCGTGGTGCTCAACGCCGGCATCCAACGACCTTTCAACTTCGCCAAGCCCGAGACCGTAGACTTGTCTACCTTCGCTGAGGAGTTCAACACTAACTACGTGTCATTCGTGCACCTGGTTAAGGCCTTCCTGCCGCACTTACAGCGCGTGTCCAAGGATACCGAGGCACACTTGGTATTTATAAACGCCTCGCTGGCGCTTGTACCGACGTGTAAGTACTTACAGGCTCCTTTCCCTCTCTGAACCCTTATTATATGAGTTTAAGTCCTCTGCAGCACGACTTCGGCTTCGAGCCTATCTCCCTAATGGTCACTCACCCTACTGTTCTAGTAACTCGTACACCTGGGTATAACGCCAGTAAGGCAGCACTTCACTCCTTCATCGTGAATGTGCGGCAGCAAATCAAAGACGCCGGTTATAACATCCGCCTTGTCGAAGTGTTCCCTCCCGCGGTGCAGACAGAGATCCATGACACGAAGCACCAACCGGACATGATAAACGGCCACGAGATAGGCATGCCCCTTGGCCCTTACACCGAGCGGATGTACGAGGGCCTGCAGAAGGGCGATGAGCAGTTCGCTATCGGACACGCAGAGGAGTACGTAAAGTTACCACTTCCCTTCTCTCCGTAGAAAATTATACTTACCTGTTTCTAACCCGATATAGGTGGCTTAATGAGGGCGGTTTCGAGGCTACGCGGGCGAAGCTATTCGAGCAAGGTCATGCCACCATCAAGGGGGCCCTGGCGAAGTATGTGAAGAGCACATAGTAGGTAGTATTCTACTTCTACCTATACGTTACATAGTCTATAAACTCAAAATAACATATATATGTAACCATGCTATACTCCATAGTGTCTTTATCATCATTAAGTAGTCCCCTTGTAACACCGGTTCTAAAAATCAATCCTGAACGCCTCGTTGTAGTGTAATTCTAATAGACAGGAAACGACTACTAGGGTATATTAGGAATTACCCATTAAAACCCAAGCGGATCCAACCGGTCTGCTGCGGCGCGGACCTTCCTCGTGACATCGTCAAGCTATAAAGTAAGTTAGTCGATCCAAAGTCCTCCATGTGCTAGGTGTGTTACAATAATAGGCAAATATCAGACTTGAACTTACATAATCAAAATTGAAGATGGAAAAGTGGTGACCTTCTATATCCACAATGTCTTTAATGAAATTACCGTGTTCCTCGTTGTAATCACTCCAGCCTAGAAGTCGGTCTTCGCGCGTGAAATCGACGAAGCTCTTGGACGGGTCGCGGTTGAACCATTCTTTCGCTCGCAGGAGGATGGTTGGTGGTGCCTGCAGCCCATCCTCCCAGCGTGGTAAATCCCAGAATGACACCATGATGCGGGCGTGTGTCATGTTCACGTTGACTTTCTCTTTCAGTTTCATAGCCTCCGACTCCTGGGCTGATAATACTACGGGCTCAGCCGGTAACCGTGCCCGCATCTCGTCTGAGTAGCTTGGGCAGAGGCTGTCGATGAAGACCATGCCTTTAACCCGAAACTTAGCCCCCGTACCACCGTCGCGCCTCGCCACGGCAATCCGATGCGCCATCTCAAGGGATAGGAGCCCTCCCAGTGACCAACCTGAGGTTCATGTTAATATATACGGATATATGTAGTTGATATTATCGGTAAGTAGATACGTACCTCCGAGGAGGATGTCGCCGCCCTCGGGGATAGCCTTAGAGAGGAGCCCAACATAGTAGGCAGCCATCTGAGGGATACCACCTTCCCACCAACCGCCTTCGTGGAGTCTAGCGTTCGCGAGACCCCATAGCGGGCGGCCAATCTGGCTGAGTAGATGGTAATTGAAATTGGTGCCACCACCGTCGTGGATCAAGATCAGCGGGGTACGCGGCAGCGCCGGTCCCTGGTAAATCAGTGCCGGGTTCGGGAGGTAATCGTACATAGATGGTGGTGGTGATGGATTCAGCCGATTTAAACTTATGCGAAATGAACGGATGCTCTGCTCGAGCGAGGAATTGAGCAGACGAGCGTTTATCTATCTATACCTTAGGTACCTGTAATAGGGTAACTAGACGTGATTAATTGTCGCTTCACGACTAAGCAAGAAGCAAGAATTGATCAGATTCCCCAATTCTATTCCTTGCCTACTAATTCCTTCGTATTAATTTCGTCGTCGAGCTCGCATCTCATGTGTTTGATGTGTTTGTTTGCGTGCGGGAATTTGACGTTGATCTGATGAGGTGAGGGTGAAGCGAAGTTAATTGAAGCCAACGCCGGTCGTGTACCGGAGCTCACGGGTGATGTTGAATCCGTAGTTAACTTAAGTACCGAGTAGGGTTACTGATTCTCCTCCGGTCTGACAAAGTTTATCAAGGGAAGACCAGCCGTTCCTTGAATGTGAATGTGTAACGAACAAAAAGTTCGGTTTGGGTGTTGAGAAGATAGTGGAGTTGATTACTGCCCAGTTTCGTGCTTACCCCTTCCGCCATAGTAGCCAATTGAAGTGCTTTAGGTAGGTACATGTATGCAGCTTGGCGGGCGTTCCTTCTTTTCTTTGCTTTTCCTTCACATGTACAATTCACATGTACAATTCGTGGAGCAACGCTCATTGGATCCAACTCATGTAGTGTTACCCTCCTTATCTCTCGCAACCACCTTCCAAGAACCTACCTTCTGCTTATATGCATAGTTGTTACAGTGATGTATCTATTAAACGCATATTCTTTTTATGTATAAGAGTATGAAAACTGCAGATACCTAACACATTCTCAACATCTTCACGTTTTCCACCCATAAGCTCAACAACAGCTGTCATTCATTAACAAGAGGTACGTGAGGGCTGCATGGTGTAGCCTCCAATCGCCACCTCTTATGTCACCCCCACATACCTATTAACCTACTATAGTTGATCTACCATAAGGATGATGCTGTGGCCGCTGTCGTACAGCATAGAATTCTCCAAAACTTAGGTATCCATTGCCTCCAGCTTCAACCTAAAACCTACCTCGTATCATACCCTGTAAAGGTAGTAGTTGATTAATTAGAGATAGCTAAATCTTTATATGAATTTTAATGTCCAGGTCAAGTTAAAGTAGTAATATGAGCACGCAATAGGTTTCTGATTTACGCGAGGCAGACATCTTACCAATGGTACTCTCACTTGTTAACTACCTACCTCCTAGGTACCTCATTATCTAGCAACATTCCTTATGATCCACATATCCACTTACTGTTCCTCAAAATCCGATGGCTTCAGTAACTGGTTGTCTAGCAGTTTGCCCATGTGTGTTTTCTCAATACTCTCGCAGTTGCGTCGGATCTTCGTGTGGAGGATCTTGAAAAACGCCACTGGGCTGCTCTTCAGGCCCGACTCTCCACCAACCCTACCCGTGCTGTCTTTGGCTATGAACCCGTCGGCAGTAATCTCTTCCCCCTCGCCGGGCGTACTGTAGCTAATGCCTAGGAATCGACATGCGTCCACATATTGCTCATATGAGTCAAAGTAGAGTTGTCCGGCGAACAGGTTTAGTTCCGTGATAAGGCTTTGGGGCACCTCGCGCGACGCCAGCCTCTCGGGTACCGTATATAAGTCAAGCTTGTCAAGCTTGCAATAGCCCAAATTCGCCCTGGGTGCATACAAGTGTAAGGCAACAGCTTTGGATTTCATTATCATCGGTAACAGCTCATTTGCCTCGTATGGGCTAATGACCATCATGTGCTCGACGAGCGTATCCGTAGAGTCTTCATCGCTAGGAGGTGCCCCCGTCAAGATCCATTGAATGGTGCGTTGGTATGAATCTAAGTGATCCGAGGTGCCGCATTGTTTGATAGTGCTTGCAAAGTCCTTCGAGACAAGTAACCCAGGACGGAACTGGGACACGTCGAAACGGGCCCCTGCCGAAGTATTGCGCAGGGCTAAAAATGCAGGCATGTATCCTTTTGACTTTTCGGGGATCATGCCAGAGGCAATGAAGTCCTTGATATCTTGGTGGATTGTATGAATAGCCGGTACTGCTTCGGGAGGCCTCTGATCTTGCCGCTCCTGCTCAATCTCCGGCGACAGCTCGCGTTCTTCCTCTTCTTGAAGTTCTGCTGAATTGAGCTTCAGATTTTTGAACTCATTACATCGTAAAGAGATCGGGTCCGTGGTGTCCGTACCCACCACTTGCGAAGGCGTAATTGCATCGCCGTCGGGGCGAGGCCGATACCTGTACTCCAGTGTCTTCGCCTCCTCTTCAAGATAATCCTCAGCGAGGCCTTTAGTGAGATTGACCTCGCCGCCAGAACGGGCCTCTGCCCATATATTCCTATGGTTTTCGTTGCGCCGGCCCTGGTTTGCCCACAATGCCATACTCCTATGGATGTCTCTCCACGTCTCACCGATTGACCAGGCCAGAATATCCAAGACTGAGATATCCTGGTCGGCAGGAAGTCTGATATCAGCCCTATGCGCCCGGATCTTTCTTTGGATTTCGTCCGGGACGCAAAATACCACCGACTGTCCCTCTGCTAGCATTCTCATCCGCATACAAGCTGATACGCGTCAGTTTGCATAGTGATATAACAGTAAGGCGCCGGGTTGACTCACCTTGTACTAGCCTATCTTTCGTTAAATTTGCTCCCAACGTGACAGCTGCACGGTAATCCCTTGGCAACTTCAGGTCAGTGCCTCTCGTGTGCTATAATAATCAGAGTTAGTAATTATTTCTTTTAAATAAATATTATAAGAGTTAAAGGCATTTTCGGTCAGCTCGGTTAACAACCCCTGACACCTAAGAGAGGTCAATAAAAGGGGGAAATGACTGTAAATACATACCGCTTCATCTAGGAAAACAACACACACATCCAGTTGTGACACAAACGGTGACGTATGGAGAGGCTCGAGATGGCCCTTTCTGTCTAGAACATAAAGTTCGTCATGGTCGTCAACGAAGATAGCTGCTTGAATTTTAGGGTCATCCGAGGTCTTATCTAACCATGTTTTTGCTACTTCGAAGTTGTTTAGCTCAAGTATCTGAGCTCCCACGTCTAGTATGACTCGTGTTGGCGGGTCGAGCGTTGTAATAATGTTCAATAGCACCTCGGCGACTGAAATCTCGTTCTCCTGGCGCGGCGGCAGGAGCGTAACGGAGTTCTTGGAATGGAGCAAATTCTCTAGGACCAATGCGTTTGTGTGCTTCTGGTCCTCGAGATCTAGCTGTTCGACATCAAGTGGTAGTACCTGGCGAGAGTCGTTTGTGCCGCTAAACCCTGTTGTTGGATGAGTCTTGACTTCGCCTATATCCCAACCCGAAGCAGAAAGCCTGTGCGAGAACTCCTTCATTTCCTTTGGGAAGACTATGTGCGCTAGGAAATAGTCTATGACGCCTTTGGCATGCCGGAAAGAGCTAAATAGGGATTGTGTACATTCTGCATCTTCGAGATTAATGCCAACCAAAGTTTTGAAGGTATCACGTAGATTATCTGCATCTTTTACCCACACCCCGAACTCCTGATCGGCCTGGTCAGACCTAAGGAGGTGCTTGAAAGTTTGCAATAGGTCTTCGTATTCGAGACCGCCATAGTAATAACTCAAAGAGGTGAGGATGATAACAACATCCGGATGACTGAATTCAGACCGCAGCGAAGGGTTGTCTTTAGCTCTGTATGGCACCGCGAGTTTAGTGCTTGGTTGTCGGTTTGAGTCGAGGCCATAGTCAACTCTCCACCGCTTATGCCCGAACGCGAAGCCTAGTACGCCTCCGGCTATAAGGCCTCGCAATAGGAGCAAAGTTTGGCTAGCACGCGTCCAGAATCCCTTCAGGCTAGGGTCTTCAACGAGCGCAATGTCGGCAGTAGCAGGTTGAACCTCAGTAATGTATCTTATTATTGCTTGACGGACATGTTCCTGCTGTCTTGTAATGGGGAATCCGTTGAGACCTGTTGCACAAATACGCTTCGTGACCCGAGAGAGAATCTGGTCGGCAGCATCCAGTTGCAAAATACGAGTACGTGGGAAACATCCGGGATACTGATAATGGACCTCCAGCGCACCGGAAAGGTCAGTACGAACTTCCAAGACGACTTCTCTAACTACCTCCAAGACCTGATGGATGCACACCCATCTTTCGGGGCTGTACTCGGTCGGACGTTGTGTGCCCATGGTATAGACCAACTCGAATTTGACGCTAAAGTTTTCATCGCTCTCGTCGACGATATCACGAGTATTCGTATTGAGGTATTCTTGACTTTGTACCAAAGCACGACCGATCGGCTCCTTTCCCGTTAGGATACACTCGATACCCATAAGCTTGAAAGACAGGACGTGTTCGGGTTGCATCAAGAATATACCCCCATTGTTCTTGCAGGCTTCGAACATGCCTCTCATCGCAAGTATCTCAGTTGTTTCGACTTTAACGGCTCGAGAGAATGGCATGTGAAAGATCTGTCGGTCTAGCAAACCCCCAAGCTTAGAGATAAGCATTTGGTACATCTGCCTCGACTGCGGTTTTCCAACAATTACCCGGACTAAACGAGAACCGTCTGCGAGAGCTGTTGCGACCATGGGTACGATGACAGATGATTTCCCTTCTCCCATGTTTAACTGCATGACGGCATTCCTACCCCCTTCGGGGCTCCTCATATTTCTGGCTATTTGCTCCTGAACTGGACGGATCATAAGGTCGCCCTCTATTTCCAAGAGCAGAGACTCTGGTTGATCTCGTGGTTGCCAGTTCGTATGGCCAGGATTTCGCAGTTCGCTTACTAGGACAGAAGGATTGTGAACTGCCCTTAGCAAACGGTCTGCTCGCTGTAGCTGAGAAATAGTTATGCCGTAATGAATTATGCAGCTTTTCCAGTCTTCAGGTAGCTTCTGCCACTTACTACGACAGAGACGTTGCAAGAAGAAGCTTGGTGACAGTCTTGGCCATTGGTGAGTTGAGGATAAGAGAGCTCGTAAAGCAATCCGTTCGCCTCCTTGATCGGTAATAACAGCTTCTTCTATGGCCCTATAATTCTTATCGACTATTTCTTGGCAACTATCGCGATGGCGAACGAGAAGTTCTTCAAGCTCTTGTATATCTTTCGTCAGGCGGTACTCCTTCCTCCAGCCCTGTAGTGACTGCGTGCTATTCTTAAGGTCTGATACATAACGCCTGTCGTATCCAGATTGTACTTGTTTGTCTAATCTCGACAGCAAAAAAGGAAGCTGCGGTGCTTCGTTGCTATCATTATTGATCAGGGATATGTTTTGTGCCATATCAGTACATAGTAACATAAGAGGAGCTGGGGCAGTGAATATTTCGTCGTTGCTGGTAAAACCAGGCTTCCTCGTACAATTCCAAGGGGGAATAGTCGGAGAGAATCGAGAAATAGTAATTGGAATGACATCCCGAGGAATCCTGCCACCGATCTGGTTAAGATACTTCTCAAGCAGATGGTTGTGATAGCGTGGCCTGAATAATTCTGTTACTTTACTCATGGCCAAATCCACATTTATGTATTTCCACCATTCCACAGAACCCGTGCGGTAGGGGGAAGTTGGACGCTCACAGGGCCATTGAGTTTCTAGTTTGTCACGAAAAGTTCTGACCTCCTCCTCCCTTTTGTTTTGAAATATCCGAGACTGTCGGGCCCCAAAAGCGGACGAGCTCTCCCATGGATCTTGAGATAGATAAGCTTCCGGACTTTCCTGAAACGGACGGCATGAATCGTCAATAACGTTGTATAGATGTGAACTGTAGACGCAAGATCCAAGAGACAGCCGAAAAATGTCAGCTGTAGGTGGACTAAGAGCTATTCCAGGAACTGTGAAGAAAGACGCCAAAACCTGAAGAATTGTCATGTTGGCATCATTAGCGAATGAAATCGTAGAAAGCCAGAACATGACTTTGAACTTGTTATGCTCAGTTGTTCTATCGCTCAATAACTGGCAGATTTGAATCCAGTGTTTGGCGATGAACTCAGTCGAACCAAGAAGCAATGTGGAATCGTAGTTTACTTGAATCTCCGGAGAGGAGGAGTTAATAGGCCTAGGTCCAAGCACGTCATACCCAGAAAGGAATTCCCAGATATATTTTCCTAGGTCTGGCACGGTGTTCTCATTCAGAGCGAAGCGTTCTCGGAATATAATTTTGGACATAACGTAAGCCCGGGACGCTTTTTTAGAAGACTGGTCGTTGTCTCTGCCTAGATAAACCACATCCGAGGATGTAGTATGGTCCTCAGCACCAAAGCCCGAGACGCGGAGTGTAGATGAACGAATAATATCACGGCGTAGGAGGCTCTGCTCAACCTGATGTAGAGCTGGCGGGGAAACATAAGAATCGGGGTGGAAAAATTCCGAGTGATTGGCTTGGTCGAATATCGAGCGCACAGTTTGATAAAATTCGTCATGCTGGGCCAGGAAGTCAACCTGTGGATCCCATACCACAGTTTGCATTTCCTGTTCGTTAGCTGGGTAATAGCATCGTGCCGGAGTAAGCAGGGCGATTTTCTTCAGTAACTCAAGGTTTTCTTCTGTAAGCTTTATGAAAGACCGCACAGCGGCAGACTTCAAGATGGATAGTGCTTCCTCCGTTCCTGTTTTCCCTGTTAAGGGATCTGGTAAGGGAAAAGAGGTAAGTGCGTGGAGGTACGACAAGAGTAACCTGCCCTGTAGACTTCCATTGTTAACGAGTCTGCCAATTAAGCCATCAACCTCGTAAACGTAAGCCTTCGTAGAAGAGTGCTTTTCAATATCAACATGGATATGTTGCCCGTGTTTATTGAATGCTACATTTCCATTTGGGATGAGGGCTTTGCGTCGAACTCGGCCGTTGTCGCCTTTCAGCACAAGCATACTTTGGAGGCCAATCAAGGTTCCAATCGACTGGTCCTCATCTATCGACATTCCACGGAATTGGTGAGAGTATATTGAAGCTTCTCCCTGCTTCAAGTGAAATCCTAGTTTTAACCTAGGAAGTTCAATATCCACAGAGTGACCCTGGAGAATGATATGCGTCCAGGCAAGCTCTTCGAGACGTTTCAAGTTTGTTTTGAAGACTTCTTTCGCTGTATGACTGTTAATGTCGACAAGGAACTTACTACCTTTACATAGCTGCCAACAGTGGCTTGCGGTATCCGAGCGTACCAATCTCCAGTTGTTTTTCGAGTGAGTCCACGGAAGCTCCTGGGGGCAGAACTCAACGTAATCACCAGCTTTGTTATACCAATGAACAAAGTTATCAACGAAAATTATTGGAAGTAAGTTCTGAATGACAGTTCGGGGGACTAATTCGAATATTTGATTATTGATAACTGCTCGAATAAGGAGGGTTCCGGCTGGGTTATCCAAGCCAAAATTTAGAGTGTGTTCGTTGAACGTGTTCTTGGAACTGAATCGCATCCCAGGGACTGAGCTCGGGACGACTTCTAGAATTGACTTTCCGAACAACACGGAATACATGTGGTGCTTCTCATACTCTCGAGGCAGTCGACCTAGAGGGGACCCATTGACGAGGAGTTCGCCCGTTAATAGACTGAAGTGGACGTACAAATCGTTGTCTCCATTATTAGGCGTTGACCGGTTGACAATCCAATGATGGTATGGCTTCTGCTGGCGTGTCCATTCTCCCGTCGCAGGGAAACCAGACCAAGTCTTCTTAATAGCATTGTCTAATGCTGGGCTGTTCTTTTCTATTATTTCTTCTGCGAGAATATCAAATGCTCGATACGCAAGCCGCTCCCACCTTCGATGCATAATAGAAGTCCAATCATCCGCTTTCCTTGGAATGCAGTTTAGTCCTTCATTAATGACAATGCTGCACCGCATCATAGTGCAGGCGGAATCAGGTGCAGCCAAAAGGCTACGGAGATGCTCCTCTTCGACGTTGAACGTGTCCGCACAGATCAGTGTTATCTTCACCAATCTATATCGCAGCTCATCCTTAATATCTTCATCTGTAGCGCCTTGGATTTTGTCCTCCAAATCGTGGATCCATTCCGAAGTGATCTTGCGAATATCAGCCAAAAAGTTGAGGCACCTGTCTTTCTCATTTTGGGAAGACGTCAGTGAAAGCAGACGTCTGGCTATGGAAACGAAAATCCCATGTGCTTGAAAAGATTGCCAATTCTCTCTAACCCTAAGCAGTGCTTTATCCAGGTTGTCCAGTAAGGCACGAGAAAACTGCGCATCGACGAGGATTTTATGACTACCCCTAAACACACTATGTCCGTCGCGAGGTCCAACTTGGAAGATGCATTGCGAGATAACCAAAGCAGTCTCTTCTTTCCTGAAGTCTATGCTTGGCGACGCAAGTTGCAGTAAGATGTTTTGCCATTGAAGCAGGAAACCTAACGGAAGAGACGTAAGCGCCTTGTACTCTTCTAGAGAAAGGTTGGTAGGACAGGTTGACTGGGTGGCTATGACCTTGTTCGGTGGCGGGCCGGCAGGTTCCAATGGTACCCGATGAATAAATGGTTGTATTGGTGATATCGTATTCATTGGCCCTTTCGGTAATGAGTACGTGCATAGTTCGGCAATGTCGTCTGTAGACTCAAACGGAGTAGTGAAGCAATTGTTCGAGCTGTCATAATATCTCAAATGCAGTCCATTCTCGAGACAGACATCATCCGGAGTCTTAGTAGCAATATTTTTCATACGGCGATGGGTTTTGTTATGAGGCTTAACATCAGATAGTAGTATTATCCGCTGCCTTGAATCGAATCCACGAAAGTACCCGGGTAAGTAATCGGCTAACTCTAACTTATAGCGAGCTACTGGTTTATCTTCCACAGAGTACCTTAGCTTCAGGATGTCATAAAGGACGAACATCGTAGTGTCACGCCACTGACCGAATGAGCAAGGAGCTTGGAGCTCAAATACAGTCGACTTTTCTTGAAGCTCATTTCTGGGCAGTGGCCACTCATGTATTTTTATTTTTATCTGCTTTGCCTGCCGAGGGATGTCGCATTTTAGGCAGTTCTTAGTGCAGTGCTCAGAATGCTCGCCTGTGATTGAATCGATCCTCGTAATAGTATCATGTTCAATCTCATCTAACATCCGTATGAGACAGTTGTACTGGTCTTTTTTCTGCTCAAATTCTTCCCGCTTTGCTTCCCTGTCCTGATTTGCTTTATTGACAATGGAATCGCGTAGATTCTTATGTTCAACAGATTGATTGAAAAACTGTACAGAAAAGCAGCTGCTACTGCCAAAGCCGTTGAGTGCTTCGTAAGGGAACTGGGCCCGGGATTTGCGATCGATTAAATATTTTTCAATGCTACAGAGCCTTATCATCTGGCTTTTTGTTGGCAAATTCAGATTCTCTAAGAGGTCCAATGGGATACCTGGCTTATACTTATCAAGTAACTTGCAATTTCGTATTGCTGATTTGTCGGATGCAACCCAGAGGTCGAGTATAGTAAGGATCATGATGGAGCTTAGCTCGGGGTTGCCTTCGTAGCGCGGGAAGGCAATTCTGTAGTAATCCTCAATAAATTGTCTTAGAATACCAGTGGCATCGTGACACTCTTCATTGGCTTCTAACCAACTTTGGAGGTTTGATGCCACCCATGACTCGAATAATGCCAATTCGTACATCACATGCATGTCGTTTGTCGATGATGTAACTGGAGGCACTTGAGAACCATAGTCGATAAGGGGGCAGCTCAACTGAACGGTAAGGGGCTGATTACTTTTCCCACGGTTCCCTATATCGTTGATAAATTCGACAAGTCTCGAGAGCGACATGTGAGTATCTTGATCAAAGTTAAGATCTTGCAGGCCCTCTAGGCTGTTAGGAACCGAATTTTCTTTCTGGATCCGCGACCATCGACCTTGGAGAATCTGATCCGTTTCTGATAGAGTTGAATTTATGAATTCAACGACAGATCCGGGGATAGGTCCGACAACCTTCTGGTACCGTCTGGAGATTTTAGCACACATAGCTACCAGAAGGTCGCTCGGAAGATTTCCTTGTACTTGTGATAGAACCTGAGCCATGAAGTATACCATGAACACTTTGTAGGTTTGTTCCGGACATGTAGGCGAACTGGCCGATCGTGTGAACAAAAGTTGTAAGACGACGCGAATAAGTAGCCACAAGGCCGACCTATGCCACGGCAGCAGGGAATCTTTCCAAAATACTTCTTCGCGAGTATTCTTCCAGATCCTCTTTACTTCCACTTGATCACCCATAGATAATAAGAATGCTGAAAAGAGCTCAGTAATCATCTTTGGGTGTGTAGTGTCTCGATCTTCATCGTGCATCTTGTTGCTCTTTCTGACCTGGGGTTGGGTATCAGGGGCCGACTGGTGGGTCATTTTTGTCAAGGTGTAGGCTACTGTATCTTGGAATTCGCATGTTTGGAAAATAGACAGCGGGATAGACACAGCTGCGCCGGGGAAGATCCGACGTAGTCTCCCTTCTGTTGAAATGACAGCCCGGTTAGAGGGAGATAGTTCAAACATCTCGACGTGAACAGATGTATCCAATCTCGAGAACAAGATACCACAGTTCTGAGCTTGAATATGACATGCGACAGACCCACCTATCAGAAATAGTTAACTCGCAGATACTTTTCAAATGGTTGGGGCATGGACTAACCTTCCTGGTTAAGGAGATGAAAGGCCTTGAGGAGCCCTTTTTCGTTAGTTGATGATTTACTTGCGGCAAAATCGTGGTTACGATGTAGATGTTCCATCGTAGTGATGGCTGAGTCCACAGCGTTGACTTCGTCTCCTTGTACATATTCTCTAAATTTATAGAGAGCTTGAATGACCGTTTTTAGTAAAGCTTCTTCATTCTCTACTTCGTAATCATTCTCATGGGGTAACTGTGGTGGAAGGAACACATGATTGATAATGTAGCGGATTTCTTCCGCGGATAACAGCTTTCTCTGACTAGCCTGTGCCATTCTTGCTACGATTGATTTGTAGAACAGCTGAAAGATAGGACAGTGGATGAGAGTCTGAGGGGGTAGAAAGGGTGGCTGGAGAAGATAAAGATAGAATGGAATCGTTTGCAGGGTAGGTGTTTTAATGAAGAGATTTACACGTACAGTGTAAATGATGTGTATTAAATTCAGGTATGTAGGAAGGCGGGAAAGTGTGGTTACCTAGGGCTATGTGAGGCTCCAGCGTATGGAGAGGTAGACATCATTTTCATGTCTACCTGGTACTTTGCGCCTATCTGTTCGGAAAGCTGCATGGCGGTCCGTGAAAATAAAGCCGTCGACGTATACCTATTATGCGCCACCAATAAAGATGTCAACACTGAGTCTAGTATACTGTAGTATACTGTATACTTGTTATCTCAGGCAATTCACTTCTGAAAATAATGATAGGTATTGTACCGGATCCTCAGGTAAAAACAGCATCATACCTGGTCGATATTCCCATATTAGCGCCTGATCGTTTCTAACTGGTTTGGGTACCAACTTACAGTCACAGGGCCAATCTTGATGTGTTAAATTACCCGATATGTAACACCTGAATTTTGTATTTTCTGTTATTTCTCAAATCAAACGGACTGTTGACCATGTTGATTAGTTCCACGTGTACCAGCCTGCCTAATCGCATATGATAGATCACCAGCAGAGGGCATAAGAGGTAGCAGCCTAATTGCACAGTATAAATACAGCTCAATGCTACGGGATTCCTCTTTGTAACGTAAATCTTAAGACTGTTGGTGATATGTTACATTCTGCTTCCAACAACAGTAATGGTAAAGTGTCTAGCGAGTACCTTATACATGTTGGGAGTTAATGTATGTGAAGTCAACTCGTATAGTATGCTCCAATAGTGTTTTAGGACTAGGGACTATTGTATAGAGAAAATAGTAAGGTTTTTGGGAAATGTTATAAGACGGCTAAGGGGACTATATTTGATATATTTGAGGCTGTCGTGAGAAAGTTATAGCAAAGTAATACCTCTTTAACGGGGAACCTTATGTACCTATGTACCTAGCTGTAGTGCTACCCCTGATCAGGTACGTACATATGTACCTTTTGTGGCTTAAGAGGCTGAGAGGTGATAATTCATTGGTCAATTCTAATGGAAGCTTGGCTTGTGCATGTGGATTGTATCCTCGTCTCGAATCCGTGCTTGTCCTAATTGAATCAAACCAGCCGGCCTAGTCCCACTGAATACCTCTTATCATCAATTTCTCCACTTACGCCAACACGCGACCTACTTCCATCGACGCGATTTATCTAATCTGATAACTTTTGGTCTCTCCTTGATTGAGCTTATTATTTAGGAATTGGTAGACGCGATACATTGCTCTTAAAGCCTGGACCAACACGAACAAAATACTCTATCCGCTACCGATAGGTATCCGACTCCATGGCGCCAACCGCCGAAGCTCTTGAGAAAGATCTCCGCGATGGGGTTCGCGCTCTCGTCGCTGAACGCGGGTGGGACCAGGTGACCGTGAACAATGTCCGACAATATGTTGAGGACAAGGGAGAGCTAGAACAAGGACTCTTCAAGGCGCCGGAGTGGGAGGCGCGTAGCAAGAAGATCATCAAAGAATTTGTTGTGCGTTTTTTTATTTCACCATATATTTATGAATAATTGCACATCTGACTAAATCGTGATGCTTAGGCCCAGTTGCTAGCCGAAGAAGATGGAGCTCCATCATCCCCGGCGGCCAATGTTAAATCGGAAGCTAAAAACGGGATTAAGCGACAATCGAGCGAAGAGCCTTCCCCATCACCCAAGCGCCAAAAGAAAGCATCTCGCGCCGCTCCGTCCAAGAGAGCTAAAACGAAGAAGGAAGAATCAGAGTCGGCGCTTAGCGACTTAGAAGACGAACCAAAGAAAGCAACTAAGCAGAGGGTCGCTAAAAAGGAGGAATCAGATTCAGAGCTGACCGATCTTGATTCGCCAGAGGATGAACCTAAGAAAGCTAAGCCACAGAAATCTGTTTCACTTCGAGGATCTAAGAAGGAAGAAACAGAATCCGAGTTAAGTGACCTGGACGATTCAGATAACGAGCCAAAGAAGAAGACAAAGAGCACAAAGAAGGCTACGCCTCGGCGCAAGACCAAAAAGATTGCCAAAAACGACGAAGCAGCTAGTGATCTAGAGAATTCGACAGCAAGAAAAAAGCGAAAACGTGCAGCACCTGCTAAGAAGCGAAATACCAAACGCGCCAAGGCCGAATCGGATAATGAAGACGATTTAGCAGACGAGAAGAATGAAGTCGCAAAGGATGAAGTTGAATCCGCAGCCGATGAAAAAACTGTGCCTCAACTAGGAGTAAATGCTAAGACTGAATCGAAAGCAGAGGATTCAGGCGAGGATACTAAACTAAATGTTGTGGATGACAAGGACAACAAAGATATCAAGGAGGCGGACGCCGATGACTCAAGCTCGGATTTGTCGTCCGTTATAGACGACCCCCCTCCCAAAAAGCGGAAGCCCAGAGAACCGAAAGGTGCTGCTAAGCCTAAGCAGGCGAAGGAGTTGTCTGTAGATGATACGGAAATCAAGAAACTCCAAGGCCAATTACTCAAATGCGGAATTCGCAAAATATGGGGCATCGAGTTGAAGAAGTACGGTGACGACAGCAAGGCCAAAGTTAGACATCTGAGGGAAATGCTTCGAGATATTGGGGTTGAAGGTCGCTTTTCCGAGGCGAAAGCTAAGGAAATCAAGGAAAAAAGGGAACTTATGGCCGACCTAGAAGCTGTCACGGAGATGAATCGGAACTGGGGTAGCGGAGCGGGGAGACGTGCCTCTAGGAGCAATACCACCAAGAAGACTTCGAAAGAAGAATCCGATGAGGATGAAGATGCTAAGGATGAAGAGGATGAGGACGAAGAAGTCAAGGGCAACCCACGCGTGTCAAAGCGAATGGCTGATTTAGCCTTTCTTGGAAGCGACAGCGAGTCTGATTAAATCGTCTACGGAGTAATGACAGAGACAAGACTGTCAGTACCGAGCATAATATGAACGGATTGGCAATGAGCTTGATGAAATTTGTGTACTTTTATATGTATTTACTTGCCGGCATTCATCTTCTGAGCTATGAGGCTAAAAATAGCAACTGAGCCCATGAACAAGACAGCATTGTAAAACTAATTCGTGTTAGTTGACTAAAGACGACCTATTTTGACTAAGAAGTTGAGGCGCAACTACTCACAGCTCTACGCGAAATCTCCCTCTCCTCATCATCCGACCTCGCCTCGATGAAGAGTCGGCGTAGGTTTGGGAAGTTTGCCTGGGTTGTTTGTTAGTTGATACGAACGTGCCATTCTGACTCTGAACTTACCATGTAGTTTTGAGTAGTTATGATTAAAGACGTGATAATTAGATGAGTATTCTTGGTATAGTCGAATCTATAGTTTCAAGTTGGGTTTGACTTAGTAAGGACTTTGTATGAATTTCTTTGATTATGGTATGGTATATAGAGGGTGGAAGGTTCTATATTGCTTCAACGTCTTGAAGTGCTTAGGCCAAGCTAAGATTTATGGACCCAGTATCTGGCTGTTCCACTATGTACATGGGTACATCAAGGTACTATGTACATATGGGCATATTCCTGTTTCAAGTTCTACTTGTGGCTTGTATATTGTGGCTGTTACAGGTGTCATGGATGGAGACACCGACTTCCAATGGCTAAAGCTGGCAACCACAACCGCATTAACTGGGCTTAGCCTTTTGATAAGTGAAGTGGCCAGGGGTTGATTTAACAGGGCAAGCATTCTTTCAACTATCATCACTCAATACGCAAATCTTTTCTATTCTTTCACCGGGACAATAGACGACATAAGCAAAACATCGACAACTAACTTTTAATTGGAAAGTGGTCGAATGCAGCTATAATAGCCCTAAACGGGCCTTTAATTCGCAACCTGTTTCGCTTCCTTGACCCTCCTTAAATCCCCCGATACCCATATCGAGATGTCGGCGGTCAGTCGCATTCGCGGCGCTTTCGCCGTGCCTAGGAAGGGCGAGACGTTCGAGTTGCGAGCTGGTCTGGTATCTCAATATGCCTGGGAGCGGAAGGAATCAATCCAGAAGACTATTATGGCCATGACCCTGGGTAAAGACGTCTCACAGCTGTTCCCTGATGTACTGAAGAATATCGCGACGGCCGACCTCGACCAAAAGAAACTCGTCTACCTCTATCTAATGTAAGCGGCTTGATGGTTCCTAGGAAGCTTCACGAGGTGTCCTAAAATCCATTTAAGTAGTAAACTTACACAATGTTTAGGAACTACGCCAAGTCGCATCCTGACCTATGTATCCTCGCCGTCAATACATTCGTCCAAGATTCTGAAGACCCGAATCCCCTTATAAGAGCCCTTGCCATTAGAACCATGGGATGCATTCGAGTAGACAAGATGGTAGACTACATGGAGGAGCCTCTACGAAAAACATTACGAGATGAATCACCATATGTGCGAAAAACAGCTGCTATCTGCGTCGCGAAGCTGTTCGACTTGAACCCATCGATGTGCATAGAAAACGGCTTTCTGGAAATCCTTCAGGAGATGATCGGAGACCCTAACCCTATGGTCGTTGCCAACTCGGTACAGGCGCTGTCAGAAATATCTGAGACGGCGCCCGAGACAAGGGCATTAATTATAACGCCAGCAACGCTCAAGAAATTGCTGATGGCTTTGAACGAGTGCACGGAATGGGGTAGAGTGACTATCCTTTCGACCCTGGCCGATTATCCGCCCCAAGATGTCAAGGAGTCAGAGCATATATGCGAACGAGTAACGCCCCAGTTCCAGCATGTGAATCCCAGTGTCGTGCTCGCTGCTGTTAAAGTAGTATTCATCCACATGAGATTAATCAATGGCGATCTTGTCCGACAGTACCTCAAGAAGATGGCGCCTCCACTAGGTTAGTTATCATATCCTTCATCTACTTGGGATTATCACTAATATACATATATTTAGTCACCCTTGTCGCTTCCGCCCCCGAAGTCCAGTATGTCGCGTTACGGAATATCGACCTCCTTTTACAGGCTAAACCCGATATTTTAAGTAAAGAACTAAGAGTGTTCTTCTGCAAGTACAACGATCCGCCTTACGTCAAGCTTCAAAAACTCGAAATCATGGTGAGGATAGCGAACGAGAAGAATTATGAGCAGTTGCTGGCCGAGTTGAAAGAGTATGCGTTAGAAGTCGATATGGATTTCGTTCGACGAGCTGTCAAGGCTATTGGGCAGGTTGCAATCAAAATCGAGAGCGCGAGCGAAAAATGTGTCAACGCGTTACTGGATTTGATCGCTACCAAGGTCAACTATGTGGTTCAGGAGGTGATAGTGGTCATCAAGGATATCCTCCGAAAATACCCTGGTTACGAAGGCGTCATTCCGACGCTCTGTAATCACATCGACGAGCTGGATGAGCCTGACGCCAGGGGCGGGCTAATATGGATTGTTGGCGAGTACGCAGAAAAGATTAATAACGCAGATGAAATATTGGCGAGCTTTGTGGACGTCTTTCTGGAGGAGTTTACACAGACGCAACTACAAATCCTCACGGCGGTTGTCAAATTATTCTTGAAAAAGCCAAGCAACAATCAAGGATTGGTACAGAAGGTTCTACAGGCTGCAACGGCGGAAAATGACAACCCAGATATTCGAGACCGAGCATATGTCTATTGGCGACTTTTGTCGGGGGATCTTGCTATTGCAAAGGTACCGTATTCTCCGACCCCCCTTTTGATTAGTTTGGTAACTAACAAGTCCTAGAGTATTGTCCTCTCCCAGAAACCCGCCATTTCAACCACAATGACAAGCTTGCCAGCAGCTTTACTAGAACAGCTACTCGGTGAACTTTCGACTTTGGCCTCGGTCTACCACAAACCGCCGGAGTCTTTCGTCGGCAAAGGTCGTTTTGGTGCCGACGAAATCCAACGAGCAGCAATCCAAGAACAACGGCAGAATGCGGCTGACAATCCCATCGCGGCATCAGTTGCTGGCGCTACTCAAAACGGGGCAGCGGCACAGAGCAACATCGAAAACCTTTTGGATATTGATTTCGATGGCGCCGCGCCGGCTTCACAAGAGCAAAACTCGGCTTCAGCTACACCGGATCGCGTAGCAAGTCCGGCCGGCGGAGCTCCATCGGGCGGAATGGCAGATATGATGGGTCTCTTCGATGCTCCGCCACCTCAAAACAAACCCGTGGGCGGTAGTAGCGGTGGTGTGAATGATATCATGAACGGATTTGAAGGATTGGATTTAAGCGGGTCAAGCCAGCCTCCTCCAGCATCGGTTCAACTTGGCCACGGAGGTGCGGGCACAGAACAGAAAACTACAAACAATGACGATCTACTAGGTCTCTTCTAAGCGAAGCGTAACCCAGGCTCTCGTTTAGCGGAAACCCAAAATCCCTAGGCCGAAGATCGCCAAGGGAACAACAGCGGGAACGACCTGTTGGATCTGTAATAGAATAGATTTTGATAATGTTACTAGGTCGTAACAGCGTTGGGGAAAGGGAAAAGGGCTCCTTCAGGAAGGCTTGTTAAGATGTGATATCGTGAAATGATGATAGGTATAACGCCTAGTTTACTAGCTGAAAAATCATGATGCGAAGATAGATCCTCGCCTAACGCGTGCCCCGTACTCCTAGAGCTCTATGCCTTAAGCTTATCCAAAGCCTATTTGCCTAAGCGTCTCTTTTCTTTCGTCCCTACAACAGGGATCTGATAGTCATGTATGTAGAGTAGGTCTCCTATCTACATGCAGGGAACCACTGCGAATCCTTAAAATATACATATCCTCGACTCACGCATCGACACCTGTAACTTGCCCCTGCACTGTGCCGTCCAAGGGCGGGCCGCTGTTCTTGTCCTTGTCCTTGTCGCGCTGCCACTCGTCGGGGGTCAGGCACTTGGCGCTCCAGGCGTGGATGGCGGCGATCTCGTCGCGCAGGGCGGCGTTGACGGCGCGGTGCCGCTTCAGGCTGTTCTGGCCTGCGAACTGCGGCGATACGATTAGTGATGTGAAGGATTGGCCGCAGCCGCCTGGGGTTTTGCGCGTGTTAGTTTAGGTGGTCTTCGGCGTTGGAGCGGGTAAGGGAAGGGGAAGGGAAGGGTAAGGGAAGGGGAAGGGAAGGAAATGTACCGGACATGTCGGTTACTTCGACGTGGACTGCGTTTAGTCGCTCTGTCAAAGCCGCTTTTAGCGATGTTTCGGTGATTGCGGGCTCGCCCATTTCTTGGTGGTGGTGGTGGTGGTCGTCGTCGTCGTGATATATATGGAGGGGATGGGGTTTCTTATAGGTATCTACTGTAGTTGGTGTGATTCATTCGTTCGTGCTTATATGGAGGGAGAAGTATGTAATGGCAAGAGAAAGCAAAGTCGATCAAGCGGTACCTATTAACCTCAGTAGATGGTGGTTACACAGATGCCCCGCGGTGATGACATTAGATCTCGGCTGGTAACGAAGGAAAAGCTCCGACAACTGAATTATCGATAGTGGGGTGTGGGGTACGTTGCTGAAGCTAACCTTTAACTAGGCGATTTGTGTCTCGTACATATGATAAGAGAGACTACATATGTCACCATAATTTAGGTACATAGGTGTTGAGCTATTCAAATAAAGCTTCATGCCATGTCCCTTTGGCAACGGACGGGTACTCTAAAGGTTTTGTCGGAGCATATTTCTAAATTCTCTTCTAACCCTCTTCCCCGCGTTCATCAGGTTGGAAAACCAGCCCTCACGTTGAACTTTACTGGTGCGAGTAGAAGCTATAGACTCCAACCGCGGAATTTCAAGTCTTGTTATACTGCTATAAGACAAGAGCGTACTTTTAGCTCATCTAGAATCATGGCAGCTCCACCGGCGGCTAGTCTCACGGATGCGGTGGTTGCTGCGATGAGAACACTGTAAGCAACAACCTTTATGAGTCCCATTTTTCATCATGGTCACAAGTCTTATTTCACATTTAGCTAACATCGCGTATAGTTTCCCGGAAGAACTAGCAGATAATGCGTGGGATAATACAGGATGTGAGAGACAAGTTTGCACATAGTGTGTGCTATCGAATATGAAGCTAATAGTGAGGTAGTACTTCTCGGACAAGCCCCCTTGTCGTCATCGTCAGTGTCTAAAAAGGAGACTGGCGGTACTGTTCTTCTCACTAATGACTTAACCTCCGCTGTGGTTGACGAGGCATTGGCAGAAGGAGCTAATATGATTGTCTGCTATCGTATGAGTTGCACCTATCATTACATACGCTGGCTGAGATGACGATTCTGACGATTAACATCGTATAGATCCCATTATCTTTAGACCTCTAAAATCCCTTACTACTAAAGACCCTATGCAGACGCTCCTCTTACGGCTAGCAGCTGAGAGGATCTCCGTCTACTGTCCCCATACGGCCATGGACGCGGCGAGTGGAGGACTTAACGACTGGCTTTGTGATATCCTGTTGGGCGGGGAACACCAGGTGAAGCGAACAGTCGTCCAGCCCATTTCCAGGCCTCTACCTGAAGGGCACCAAGGCACTGGCTATGGACGAGCATTCGAACTAGCTCAACCCGTCAATTTGCAGACCCTTCTGCGGCGACTCTCTGCTGGCATAGGCAACCAGCGTTATATGATGGTCGCTCTGCCACCATCACTGAAGGACCTCACCAGGACGCAGGAAATCACCAAGGTAGCTGTCTGTGCAGGTTCGGGTTCTGATATCTTAAAAGATACCGATGCTCAGGTCTTGGTGACGGGTGAGATGGCGCACCATTATGCGCTCCGGCATATCCAGTTGGGTCAGATTGTCGTCACCGTCTTCCACAGTAACTCGGAGCGGAAGTACCTAGAGACGAGATTAAAGCCCATGTTGGAGGTCGAATTGGAGACGACGGCGTACGGAGACACCCGCATAATTGTTAGCAAAGCAGACCGTGACCCATTCGAGGTCATTGACGTTAGAGACCTAGCTTAAGCACTCGATGCGACGGCTTGTTGACCTGGTCGAGTGTGTAATTAACATGGCGGTCGGCCACTGTTCGTCGATGCTGGCCTAATAGACGGTTCCATTCAATGACGCTTCAATCGTTCACCTTGTCGCTTAGAACATCATTCAATCCAAATGCTCAATCATGCCGAGTCTTGGGTATTCGAATCCCTCCAATCTCCCTTGCTCGGCTCACCTTTCAAAGCCGCGTCGCCGTCTTCTATGCACGCGTCCACGTCTAAACCACCGATACCCTGTTCCTTCCATACTAATAGAAGTCTGCGTGGCATTTTCCACGCCTGTCTCGCATCTTCCAGTCGTCCCTCACTGACAAGTGCTCGTATTTTATCTGGGGCGTCTAGAACCTCGATTGCCAGCTGTTTCGTTCGTGCTCTCCTCTGGCGCGCCTCTTCCGCTTGGGCTCTAGCTTTATCGGGTGGTGGGACAGATTTCCGTAGCGAGTCTCTTATTTCCGAGGCTTGCGAGTATATCTGAGCGATCGCTGGATCGAGCGTAGAAGCCATAGGGTTCAATGGGTCCATATTCGTTCGCATCTTACACGTCTATTAGTACATGGCCCCCGTTCTATAGCACATGCCCTTTTAGACCTAAATGAATTATAAGACTAACCTTGCGTATTGTTTCCGTAGCTGTGATCAACTTGCTGTAATTATCGTATACAAGTGCCTTCTTCTCAGCGTCCAGCGCCCTTATCTCACCCAGCACCCGCGTATACAGCCGCAGTAACTCTTCCATACCGTTTTCAGCCAGCGCCTTCTTAACAAAAGCATCCACATCGAAGCCTTCTCTGTCTATCTCGCTAGGGGGGACTTCCGAGTACTGCTCATGCGGCCCGCCTGAGGTCTCCCCGAACGGATCTGTCACCTCTACCTGGGGCGGCGTTACAGCAGCCTGCTTCTTTAGGTTGTAATACTCGCGCAGGGCGGCACGATTTCGCTTCGCAGCTGGAGGGTTGGCTACAGTAACCGTGTTCGGACTGCCGCCGCTATTCGGGTTTGGCGAGCCGATAGGCGATCGTGAGACGTCGAGACTTGGTCGCGTCGACGAGGTCGGCGTGGTGCCCGAGTTCATGCGCCGCGGCGGGTCGCGGGGCGAGGCAATTGTAGACATTTTGACAGGCGAGATGTAGTGTCTCTTAGTTACGCTTGATCGTGTGACCAACGATATGTGAAATAGCGAGATATTAACTGTTTAATAAGCTGGTAAGTATTGCGACGTTTGACGTTTCCAGATGCCAGATTTAGGGGAGGGCGTAGGAAGCATTAGTGAGGCTGTAGCGCATTAGCTGCCGATCTCCCGCGTTCGTAGCGCGCAAAGCCACTGTGGCGGGAGCTGTCATGCCCCTATTACGTATCGAGGTATCCCGCTAATTGGAAAGAACCCGACAAGCTGGACCCGCATGCTACCTACACTACATACACTACATGTACCTGCCATCTCATATTAACTTCCATACATCAACTTTAAGAGGTAGTTGGAGGTATATCGCATTATGTCATTCCTTGTTTGTCGAAAATGAAACTTATATAACCAAACTACCACAACAAAGTTTTCGAGTTACGAATGAGACCCGCCCATCTCTCAAGAAGCATGAATCTGAGAAAAATGAAATTCTGCATAAGTCTAGTCATCACCCGACGTCTTTCACCATGAGTTCGGACCTACCAGTACAAATCCGCGCCAGCTTACAGAGCCAGGGGCTGCCAACTCCGTCTTTGACTTGGATCCAGAGTGCTATGCCAAACCGGAACCCGCTGCCTCCTTTGCCCGCCTTGATAGCTACCGTGAAAACGCGTTTGCTAGCAGCCGACCTGACGAGTCCGGGCCTCTGGGAGTCGCCGTCACCAGCGTTTCCATCCAACTTGGGTAACCCAGAGGTCAAAGAGATTAAACTCTCCCGAGACGTCCCCGTGCAAGTCTTGGATATCGACAACCTGTCCAAAAGCAAGTGGGACCAAGTAGAGGAGCTCGAGGCCATCGCGCGTGGGGAGCAAACGAGAGGCCGGGAAATCATCCGCCTACCCACCGGCAACGAGGAAGACGAAGAGGACGGAGCAGTCAGCCAGAATGCGTTGACGGCCACGGGTAGGAACGCGGCTGTCAACGCTAACGTGGCAAATGCTGCGGCCGCCGCGAGGAACGCGACGCACAGGCTCGTGATCCAAGACTGCAAGGGCCAGAAGGTGCACGGGCTGGAACTAAAGCGCATCGATCGCATCGGCATTGGCTCGCTTAATATCGGCGAGAAGATGATTCTGAAACGAGGCACGACCGTCGCGCGTGGTATCGTCCTTCTGGAGCCGGCGACCTGCGTCGTACTAGGCGGGAAGGTCGAGGCGTGGCATAGAGCCTGGGTAGACGGGCGGTTGACGAGGCTAAAGGAGGCGGTGGGTGCTGATGTTCGCAGTTAGGTGGTTTTTAAGGACTGTTAACTATAAGAAAAAGGAGAAGCTAACTAGGGTAGAGGATAGAGGTCATACTTGGTTTGGTCAACTCAGTCTATAGTGTATACCTATAGATTTATCTACCTGTAATTAGTCAAGTTGAAAAAACAGCATTGTGATATTACGAGTTTTGAACCAATATGGCGTATAAAAACAGCTTTGTCGTATTTTGGGTAGTTAGTCATGTCATAGACTATCAACACCACTGTTCAGATATCATATTATGTAGTATAAAGTAAAGATGGGCTCTTTACGTCATATTGCAACTGGGTCCAGTTGACGCGCTGTGTGAGCTTCCTGAATTGAAATAGACGAAGGTACGAATTACAAACCTCCCGTTTATTCCGGACAAAGAAGAACTCGGCCGAGTCTGTAGGGCCTGTACCGGGTACCCTGAGCCCCTAGAAGTCAGATACGCGGGTGCTTAGCGTAGTGGATCCTACCAGCTAACCCGAATTCCTGGTAGGCACCTGCAGGGTTAGGTAATAGGTTATGTACCTACATGAGCTGTCGTTCCCTCACGACGCGCGATCGCGATCAACTACACTCATCCATTTCTCAACTTCCCGTTTTCGAAGCATTATAGCTTTCACTCAACTTGTATTATTTATCACAACTCGTGCTATTATCTATATCGAGTTGATAATAATTTACATTGATGCGATCTTGCTCGTTATATATTTTATATGTTATTATGAACCTGATCCGTAACAGCTGCACTTCAATCTACGATTACAGCAGAATATGTCTATAAGACAATTCCCTAGACTAGCGAGGCTACCATTCGTTGGCTCCCTATACCAGTCCGCTATCAAAATCCCCCAGACACACGATGACGGTCAAGCTTTGCTCGAAGATGATGCGTTAAGTATTCCACTTGAGAACACTGAGCCATCCTCTGAGCCATCCTCTGACCTAGCTTCACGACGACCAAGACTAGTAGCAAGAAGTTATCGTCACGCCGCTTCGTGGCAAAATAAGTCATGTCAATACGCGATTTTCTTGGCAATACTAGCTGGCCTGTTGCTGGCAGTATTGCTACCTCGCCGTCATCCCACTTCTACACCCCGGGTTGACGGCCTACTACCTTGTGGTAGTTCAAGATATTCGATTAATGATGTAAGTTTAAGGCACACTCTTTATTAAGATTCAAGAAGCCACTTCTAAATCAACAAGCATACGTGCTATCGTGGTAATTTTCTTTGTCCGGTTGTCGACAAGAAACGCACATTACAGTGTGGAAGCGATTGCTATCTGCCTCACCTATACTCGTAAGTCATTTGCCATATATCTACGGTAAGCTTACTTACAACTCCAAGTTGTGACAATGGAAAACTAGTATCATTACCCGAACCTGACTTAGGCGAAAAACTACCATCCCAAGAGGCCGGCCAGGAATTGTGCACATCCAGCTATCTCCACTTAAGCGATCCTCCATATGATAATTACTTCGCAGCCGATTGTAGCAGTGCAAGTCAAGTCGTTGTGACTAGCCCATTACCTGGTAGCAACCTCAAGATTATCGGTCCTAGACTTCTAGTAAGAACCGCGGCCCTTATTATTTCCTTAATTACTACATAATGGTTGAGACTGATGTGTATCAGATCGCTTGGCCAGCCGGTAATAGCGGGATTGTGTTATATTTCTCACCACAAAGTGGCGTCAACGGAACACTTGGCGTAGAGCTTGAGAATCTTGCTGGCATAAATCGTACATTAAATCCACTTGTTGGCGGAGTAAGCGGTATTCTGTCTCTCAACTCATCTGCTACACTTGACTTGGCTATTCTAGGAAGTATTAGAACGATACGGGAATTCGTCGAAGGACCAAGCACTCTTTCACCTAAGATCCAAGATGCAATCACGATTCAAGCATTGCCCGATGGGGGTATCCAGCTCAATCGCGTATGGCTCGACAGAACAACGGAGACATTTCTCACAATACACAACCTTAATAGTACTTCTATCCCCATCAAAGACGGCCGGCCTCGCCTTACAGGCGGTACTTACGCCTTCAATGCTTGGAGCAGCTATCCACAACTTGACCAACTCGGGACCACTAGAATCATCAATCCCGCCTCTAAATCCAGCATATCGCAAAATCAGGAGGACGTAGAATCGCTCACGTTTTTATCATACCGCTCCAAGATTTTAGCTGGAGCCTGGCGGTTCCTCACCTATTTTGGACGTGATAGTCTAATATCGCTTCTCCTACTCAAACCTATACTTAGCGAAGGCGACGGGGGCGCAATTGAGGCCATTCTCGGAGCAGCCGTTGAGCGAATTAACGCAAAAGATGGCAGCGTTTGTCACGAAGAAACCATTGGTGACTACGCATCATACTTGAACGACCAGCAGGGGATAGACAGCGCAGATCCTTTGTGCGACTATAAGATGATTGACACCGACTTCTTTCTTCTGATCGCAATCAACGAGTATTTCGTCAATTCCGCCATTGGAAGAACCCGTCGCGACCTGTTCTTTTCTAGGAATGCGTCCGTCCTTTCCGCAAACCGTGGACTTGCATATAGAGATCTTACTTTAGCTACCGCAGAAAAGATTATGAAACTCACCGCTAACTTTGAGCAATCTCCCGTAAAAGAGAACCTTATACATATAAATAAGGGACAAACGGTAGGACAATGGCGTGACAGCCCTAACGGTTTAGGCGGAGGCCGTATACCGTACGACGTGAATACGGCTTTAGCTCCAGCAGCACTCAAGTCCATCGCCTCGCTATCCGAGAATGGATTTTTCCCTTCACATTCAGACTGGAGTGCGGTTGCTCATAAGCGTGCCACTCTCTGGGAATACAGTACCCTTTCTTTCTTCCAGGTTAATATTACGGCAGAAAAAGCCCGAGGTCTTGTTGAGCGCTACGTCGACGAAACAAAGTTCCCAGGCAAGGTCAATTCGTCGGACTTGAACTCGCCAGTTGTATTCCACGGTTTAGCTCTCGCCGGTGATGGACAATCGATTGTCCAGGTGATGAATACAGATGACTGCTTCCGGCTTTTTCTTCTTAATGGTACTGACCAAGTCCAAGTCTCCGCTTTCCTCTCTCAGGTGACAGATAATATCCTGCGCCAATTCCCCCTCGGTCTTTCTACAAGTGTCGGACTAGTCGTTGCGAATCCGGCTTACGGTGATGGATCCGCGAACGTAAAGGAGTTTACAGAAAGTGCGTATCACGGTACAGTGGTCTGGGGTTGGCAACTTGCCATGATGGCTGTAGGGTTGGAGAGACAGCTTGAGCGATGCGAGGACGAGGAGCTGGCGTATTGCGCGGACACGAAATTGCACGGGCGTGTGCTCGAGGCGTACAACCACTTATGGGATCTAATCGACGCCAATCGTAAGCACCTAAGCAACGAGGTCTGGAGTTGGGTCTACAGGGACGACGACTTTCATTACATACCTTTAGGTGCTCTACCACCCCCTGACGGGCAGAGCCCAGTTGGTCCGTGAGATATCGCTGAGAATTTGGAGGAAACCAGCTAACGCGTTTGACAGAAAGTGATATTCGACAACTTTGGAGTCTGGCCTTCTTGGCAATGAAGAGAAATGAATTGTATAGTTCCTCCTGAGCACGAAACCACGAGCTTTATGCAACATCAAGGATGCTGTAAATGAGGCTCGACATGGTATAGAATCTATTCCTTGTCCCTCTTGCGGTGAGTATACCAGCCCGACACCCAGGAGAAGTAGCCATCCGGGCCTCATGTATTATCGTGCCTAGCATAAATTACATCTCATTTCATAAACGAAGAACAACTGCAAGGAGGTGGAGCTCTACCGAGTTTCCGGACCCTGTGACTTAACTAATCGGTATATTATAGGATGATAACGTTGTTTAAAAGTCAACAACTTTGAGACGTGTACGAGGGAAGTTTTTAAGGTATTAGAATTGCACAATTTTGGAAGCGAGAGTAATGCAGGGGTTTCTGTTGTATGTACCTGCAGGTTTAATAATTTGTTATTGTGCTGACCACCAACTACATATGTAGGTAGGCTGGACCCCAATACCACACCACCTACGACCTGGTACCTCACCACACACCCAACTTAGATTTCTAAAATCTTCAGAATATTCTTAATTTACGCCCCCGGGACATATACAGGCTGCATATGTTTCAGTTGCGGAGATGAGTAATTGCATCCAGGATAATAATCTCATCTCACTAGTATATTACATGCCCTCGTCTTGACAGATGACGCTCGAAGTTATTGTTTCAAGTTGTACTATTTTGGGTCGGCAAATTTAGCTAGGTATGTATCTGCGGGCCGGCCTATTGTCTTTGATTTTTTTTCCCGCTGACTGCCGCCAGGCTGCCTCAACATTGTCAAGTCAACGAAGCCGGGGAGGAACGGAATAAAAATGTTGGATTACATACCTACCTACCTACCTACCTACCTCTTACCCGGCAGCTATCTATTCCGAAGATACGCTACATAATACGTAGGTAGGTAATGTACCTGCACGTATATATCCATCCCCTTACCTCTATATGTAGATACGGTGTTACATCATCCACATTGATACGTTATTTTGAATTTTGAATACAGCGTATTTCTGGATAAGGCTGAGGCATCCACTCCGCGAACCACCCTTCTTCAGCATTTCCAGCCTTTCTTCCCCGCTGCAATTCCGCGCAGTCTATTCCGCTCTTGTGATCATTAGCTAATCTTATATACATAACTATACATAGCCCCAAGTCGAAATGGTATTATCTAGCCGGCACTCGTCTAAAGAGACACCCTTCCTTTCCCTGGCTCGCTAAATTACTGCAGATACTTTTGGATTGTTCTTAGTTTGGCATTGATACGCATTATCATAGCAATTATACATGAACGGACATGGGACTTACGCTTTAGTTTCCTAGCGGGCAATGTCGTCTTGCCCCCAGGAATATTGGCCCTCAGCTGATCCCGACATAACACCACAGTTCTTGAAAGCCGGCTCGTCGCCGAGTGAGAATCAACCCGTTCACTCTCGAAATGGATTCCCCATTTTTCCACTGCCAGGATATCTACCACACCTCCCCCAAGGAGTATAAGTATAGATATAAGTGGGGAGTGTACTCTTCTCTCTCATACTTACGCTTGCCGTTCGGCCCTTGGGGGGGTCTTGTACCTTAGTTGCCTACCCGTCTCATCGCCCGCTTCTCTATGTATGCATTGCAGTCTCTACTGCATATGTTCAGACGAATTGTTTCGATATGCAGGTCTGGGCCGCATTCATACATACTCCCGTCGATCGTTGTCAATTTGTCAAGTATAATTCCTTCGGGGCCGGAAGTCATAGTCAAGCTTGGGGTGCTCTCACCACGGTAGAACTCATCCCTCATAAATAAGGACCTCTACCATCTAGTTTTCGGGAGTTCAAACCTGCTTAGCTCTAACTTCAAAGACAGACACTTCCGTCCTCTCAAAGTCCAATTCCCATACCAACGACGTACGCCTATTACATTCTATAAGATCCACCGAATTCCTTTCTCCGAGATCCTTCTGTTTCTTCGTCTTCGATCTTTAACCCCGTACTATCATCTCGTCAAGCCAGACCATATAATATCACCATGTCTTACGCACCTTCCTCTGTCGGAGTCAACCTCGACAGTTGTTCATCTGGCCCGTGAGTCAATCCTCCCGAGTAATGCCAGCAACCTTGCCACTAACTTTAAATTCTCTTAGGCACGGGCCGATCACTGGATCTCCTGAGGAGAGAGATAGCATGCGGGACCAACGTCTTGCTATGACGCAGCAGCCAGGAACAGACAGCTTCACCGACCGTCACCTCAGCGGTAGAGCTAGTTCTCATGACCACGAAGCAACTATGAGAGAAAAGCTTGCGGACCTAACAACCCGACTCCCTTCGACCACAACGAACGGATCGACCAACGGCAGTGGCAATTCCGCGTAGCCACATTTATGCCAACATTACAACTTGACGAATATTATGTACAATACCGCTTATCTGGCAGACGCGTGCCAAAGGTGGATGTGATACCATTTTACTACTACATGAGATTACTTGAGCGGCCAAGAGTAATTGCCGGGCTATCCCTTATAATGTGTTTTAATTACTAGAGGTGGAGTTCTCTTATCTATTTCTTTTCTACTCGCGAATGAAGGATTTCGGGTTTCTTGTTAGCAGGGTGGGGTTTGAACGACTTCATGTACAACACGAAAAATTCCCTTTACAACATGTATGCCTAGGTAGATTTCGAGCATGGGACATTTCGGGTCTTTGGTTTTTTATTCATGTAACATATACCCTTTATCTCATTTCCTGGACACCATGTACTAGTAGCATGTTCTAGTAGGATGTTAGATTTTCTTATTCCAGAAGGAAGATTCATCAATAAAAGTTTTGCTTTTATCCCCTTCCGGGTGCAACATGACGCAAGGTGCAGTATATGGCGCAGTCATCGGTCTACACGCCGTAAAAACAGTACCATGGCACTGCCCTGAGACTCATCCCGATATGTGTAATTCTTAAACCCTGTCTCCCACGTGCGGCAACAAAGTTAATCTACCTTTCTCCCCATAGATCAGCGATCCGCAGTCCAGCCGAGAAGCTCAGGTCAGGGGTTTGCGGCTCAAACCCGACTTGGCAGTACCCAATTGCACATATGGCCGTCCAATCGGGCAGTCCGTCAACCAGTACGACAGCAAGCAGGCTACCTTATGTACCTAAGGCATGTAGGTATCTAGGCAGGTAGTTAGCGAGTTAATCTACCAGAAGCTTAGCTCCCTGTCATTGATACACAGCGTCATAACGTCTTTAGAGGTACAGGACTTCACTTATGCTAAAGGATAGTTAATAGAAACAGACATGCTTCTTGTAAGACTCAACCCGAGGGCTAAAAATACTGTCGCCGCTGTTATCACCTTAACTATTTGCTTTGGATTACTAATACCCAACGAATTCCCGTCTTATCCTGTTCTGTAAGTATAGTGGTTGCTGTTTCATCGCACATACATCACTGCCGCGTCCGAGTTGAGCTGTTTTGTGAAGTAGGCCAATGAACCAACCATGTTCTCTACGTCTATTGGACCAGACCAAGGGAGCTGGGGAGTTTCAGCGCGCTCCGGTTGTGCAATAATTGCTACCCTACAACACACCCTTACAACACGATAGTGCCTGGCTACCATGCGTTAACCACACCAACTAACCTACCTCTTTGCCAAGTCTCGAAAGCACGAGCTAGACGACCAGATGTCACCTCGTGTCCCTGGCAGCTTACCCCTGCCACCTTGCATCATTCCGGCATGTTTATGCACGACTTACTGGGATGTTTTACTGGGTTAACACGTGGCTTAGAAGATCGTCTAGGGTGTGCCAATGGTAGTGCGTTACCGTATTCGAGTTTCTCTAAAAATCCCTGATACCACCCACACCACGCCTCCTTCTTCTTCTTCTTCTTCTACATTACATTACATTACATACCTACACCACCCCATACACATACATACATAGCATGGCCACGCGCCCCTCGTGCAGCAGCGATCAATCCTTTCTTTTTTCAGAAGCATACAAGCCGCGTCGTAAGACATATCGAATGTCGAATTTATACTGTGCTTTCTTTTTCCAGAAGGTGTCACCAAAGCTAAGCCGGGTCGACCAACCCCTCGGCGCTTAACTACTATGTACTGCGCCTCTGAGGGAACATACATGAAGAACAGGGGTTCGTCTGACAAGAACGTGTCACTGTATAACACGCTCATGTCTTTCCGGGCCAGCTTCAATTGCCGTACAAGGATGCGTACCTCTTATTGTATGCTGGTATGCAGAATAATTTAGCGATATACAGTGCGTATTATTTCAACCAAACCGAGTAGCATGCCAGAAATTGCATGCTCATACCTAGGTACCTACCATAGGTACCTACTTAAGGTACCGTATATGGATAGGTACTACCTACGTTTCGACACCGAGGTCTCGCATTAACCACTCGATCATTTACATAGGTACCTAACGTATTACATATATACACCCACGTCTTTTTTTTTTATATATAGATCCGAGTCCCGATTAATGGACAAGTCTCAGGGGGACCTTGCTATGAGGTATATGTATTTGATCCCTGCGCCACGTGGTGACGATGGAAACATCCGAACGACAAGGATAGCCTAGTTCATCGCGTCGCCCTACGAAACAGAGGCATATATGCGTAGTACATAGGTATTTACATGCATACGACATAAGATACCATGCACGGTTATCAAGCGAGTCTAAGACATTTATGATTTAGCGAAATACCCAAGAAGTTTCGAAATATCTTAGTTAATCTTAACTGGTGGCATATTGTCGGCGTCGGCACAGCAGAATTGGAATATTCCAACCCTCGGACAGGCACTGCCTCCCCCACCAACCCCAACCTTCATCCTCATCCTAAGCCCGCTTTACCGCTTCCCGTAATTTCTGAAATACCACTCACCCCAAGTCTTTGCCGTTTTCGATACCGATGCCGAAGATAAAGGATGATTACCTACCTTAGGTACCTAAGGTTGCTCCTGCCGCCCGGTGGCGCTGAATGTTTTATTCTACCTCAATTCCCGTACCTTCCCCGGCCCCATCCATTTCCCCGGCCGCTTGTCGGAACCCCAGGGAGCAAGACGACTAAGCAAATATATTCCTTTCTCCTTCTCCTTCTTTTTTTTTTCCCCATCGACTTCTTGAGTCTCTATTTAAATCTCTTCGGCTGCCTATGTATTAATCGGCACGTCTGGCCCAGAAAGATGTTTGACTCGGATCCTACCATGCAAGATATGCATTACATACACCTGCAGCATCACGAATCGCAGCGCCAAGTTATCTACCGAGGTGCTTGCGACCGCATCTCTTCGCAACTTACAGATGTTTCTAGAATAGCGCGTTAGGGAACCCCCACAATACGTACCCTGCCGCAAGCCACCTCCGTTCCTATTACAGCACGCGGCTTGATGCATAGTCCTACGCGGCATCGCGCACGGGGAAACCTTAGTAATTCATAAAGATACCGAGGTCTCAGTGGATCCTAGCGCTGACTCTTGGTCTTAGAACACCTAGAGTAAGACCTGTCTCTCCGGAGCCGCGTCAGTCTTACGGCATCTCGGGGCTGGTCATCCCGCTACGTCACGGGATGTGCCGAGCGCATTCGCGTCGCGAGAGGGCTTGGTTATGGATAACGACCAAATCTATGACTAGCCACATAGACTAAGCGCCTTGTTAATGCGTGCAAACTCTTGTCCCGAGACAATTTAGCTGTCTTGCTGTAGACTTGGAGAGAACGTTTATGAGGTGAGAAGTAAGAAGTTCATCGTGTGGACTTGATAAAGGTTATTCGAGTAGATTAGATGAGTAATGACTAGATCTAGTTCGAAAACGATGGAAGCACACTTTAGGATTAGCTAAGATTCTAGTTGACGTTACTATATGTTATTATATCTCTTGTGGAATGACATACTATACTCAGTAAGTACTTGTTTGATCTAATCTTAAATATACCTAAACAACCTGAGTATTCACTACTAACAGGTACGTATGCTTTATAACTTATAAGACTTGGAATAGCAAGTCTTCTCATTGGAGAAAGTAAAAAATGCCAATTGCCCACTAAATTAATATGCAAGCCGTAGCTCTTGAAATTTACTATAAGCAGAAGCATTGTGTCACAATCATTCTCTATTCGCATTTGCCCGAGTTTACGAGGGGTTATGCCCGAGTTTACGAGGGATATTGTCAGACGATCTTTTTGCCTGGCCATTTTTCGAAATAGGAAGTTCGTCCGTGCGCAGCGTTCGAGCGTTTTTATTGGGTGCATCCTCGAATTCTCACGTGCTCTTCCAGATCCCCACTTTCATCTTTTTCTCAAAATACGTATCTTTTTTTTGGCCGTAGCTTATACCAATTACGTAGCCACGCATTACATACCTACCTACCCAACCCAAGTTTTACAAAAGCCTGGGTTCGAATCTTATATGCTCTTTTTTTTTTTTTAAAAAAAAAAAAATTTTCTAGCAAAGTTTAATATTCGAGGTTGTCCGCCGCTACTGCCGGGGAAAGGCGCTCGGCGCGCTTCGCGCGCCGAGCGCCTTTCCCCGGCAGCAGCGGCACGTGATTCGTAAACTCGGGCTATTGTGGTGCCCCGCAGGGGTGCCCTCATGTTGTGTCGAATTTTTTCCATGGCCCAAATAGGAAAGTAACTCAATGGGCAGTATATGGCACGTGCGCAATTATGTAAACTCGGGCATATTGTGCAGCCCGCAGGGCTGCCTCCAATATCGGTTTGTAACAACCTAGGCTATATACCTAAGTTATCTCAATTCTACTGAAAAAGGTAGATATATATATTCTATACTAGCTATTAACGACTCCTATTTTACTAATGTCATAATATACTAGATATTAAGATTATATATTAAATTGAAACCACTGTTATTCTTTTAAATTAAATTGTCACATTTAGTCCGTATAATCTATGTCTATCTCGGGGTCACTTTAAAGGAATATGTAGTAAAGCTACGAGGATCGTATCTTCACCTCGCTATAAAAATAACTTGCGTTATCTCTTTTTATAAAAGACCTATTAAATCATTTATGCCCATCTGTAAAAGTCTTGAATAATTATTATTTTATCTATTTTACCCTAAGTCATATTTAATTGCCGGCTCCCCCCTATTCGACGGCTAATCAAGATTTTTAATAAGCCTTGTAATTATGGTAATAACGAGACTTACCAGACACTCCTAGTTGAGAGACATGGTTAATTTAGTAGTTATACGATGTTTTCAACATCCGTTTCTTTAGTTCACAAACCCCCTGAATCTAGCCAAGGAAGGCCGTGTAAGTTTCATGGCAGAATGTCTAGTAGAGGCTTTGACACTCATCACTTGGCGATGCAGCGAAGAAGGTAAGAAGTCGAGTTCGTACCACCA